GAGAACTAAACAGGGGGTTCCGCAGGGTGGTGTCCTCTCCCCTTTACTGTTTAATTTCTACATCTCGAAACTCCCTCAACCACCAGAAGGAATTTCCATGACCTCGTACGCTGATGACTGCACGATATTGACTTCGGGCAATGGAATCGATGGCATGTGCTCAACAGTAAACAGCTATCTCTCTGATCTTTCTCGCTTCTTCTCTGCAAGGAGTACGACACTCTCCCCCACTAAATCCACAGCGACCATATTCACAAACTGGACTAAGGAGTACAAACTGGATCTAAACATTTCAGTCGATGGCACCAAAATTCCGACGGTAAACAACCCTAAAATTTTAGGCGTTACACTAGACAGTCTTTGGTCCTTCACTCCCCACACGACCGCGATAACTGCCAAAGTACAGAGCCGCAACAAAGTCCTCAAATCGCTTGCCGGCAGCTCTTGGGGAAAAGACAAAGAAACGTTGCTGGCAACTTACAAGGCCGGCCGGTCCTAAACTACGCATTTCCAATTTGGTCGCTTGGATGTAGTGCAACGCAGACGAGGAAGCTTCAGACTTGTCAAAACACTGCACTCCGGACTATCAAGGGGTGCCTCTTGATGTCCCCAATCGAACACCTACATAGCGAGGCCCGTATGCTTCCGGTTGAGGAACATAACGAGCTCCTCTCCAACAGTTTCTGCTGGGATGTTTTCGTAGAAATCACCCCTGCAGTCGCCTGCTTGAAGCGGAACCGCCTCCTAGGAACATCAAGAGGTCATTCCTTGATTACGTCGACGACATCAGACAGTACGCCGACCGGACTTCGGACGCAACAAACTACAGACAAGCACTGACCGCCATTCACAGTGGAGCCATTAACACCTTCATTTCCGAAGCCATTCACAGTGGAGCAATTAACACCTTCATCGACTCCCTCTCAGTGAATGGCGTACTAGGAGTCAAACCACCACCTACAGCAGACGTAGAGCTCGAGTTGGCCCGCGAAACCAGAGTGGTCCTCGCGCAACTTCGTTCTGGATACTGTAGCAGGTTAAACTCCTACTTATCCAGAATAGACCCCGACATACCAAATGCATGTCCTGCGTGCAATGAGTCTCCGCATGACACTAACCACCTCTTTGCATGCCCAACCAAGCCCACTCATCTAACACCCTTCTCCGTATGGTCCGACCGCGTCGAAACAGATCGTTTCCTGGGCCTCCCGTTAGATGACCTCGACGACAACGAATCTGGAATTTATCACCCAAATGGGGACTAGGTAATCGTTACAACAACAACAACTGCCACGGTAAAAGATGGTGGTGGGTCGCTCATGGTGTGGGGATGTATGGCAGCATCTGGAGTAGGTAATCTTGTGTTCATTGAACATACAATGAAAAAATATGATTACCTTTACATTTTAAAAGGAAATTTGACCGAAAGAGCGGCTAGATTGGGACTTGAAGGATCATTTGTCTTCCAACACGACAATGATCCAAAACACACCGCTCGCATTGTTAAGGAATTGCTTCTCCACAAGATACCCAAACAATTAAAAACACCAGCCCAATCTCCTGATGTCAATCCTATCGAGCATTTGTGGGATTATTTAGAAAGAAGACACCGAAAAACCAGCAAATAATCTTTGAAAGCTGCGTTAATCGAAGAATGGAGCAAGATTCCACCTTCAGTGACCCAAAATCTGGTAAAGTCCATGCCATCTAGGTTGAGTGCAATTAAAAAATCCAAAGGCTATCCAACGAAATATTTACCGTAAATCAAAGCTCAAAAATAAACCCGTTAGAACTTTTTTCGCAATTTATTTTTAGTGCATACATACTTTAGTGACGTAATTTTAAGCTATTGATTATATTTGAAAAATTATTACTTTGGGTTTTTTGTTATTGGAGAAATATAAATATATGCAATAATTGAAAATATAAAAAAATTGCTTAATAATATTAGTTTTAAAAATTAAATAAAGATAATGATTAAATGAGTTTTAATTGTATTTATTTCCTGTTCGCGTTTAGGCAGTTAATTGTTAAAAGTATTACAATCGTCAAGCAAAAAGTGAAAGGATCCTGAATACAAGTGACTTTCTTTTATATTAAATGAAACTGTAGCCATATATTGGTGTAATACTATATAATTATGAATAATTTAATCAAAACTGGTCAATATTGTTTATTTGCATGTTGAATATGTATATATATTTAAGTTATTGGAATTGCTATTAAAAATTGTTTCTTCTGGTTCATTTTATCACAAAATTGAAAGTGGGAATTTTCTTCAAAATGATTTGTTTGATTAAGAAATGTAAAAAACGGAAATGAAAAAACATGTTTGATTACCATAACATGAGGTAACCCATGTTAATCATTTGTTCGTGAGCAAACAAATTTTTAATCAAACAAAATGGAAAGAAAACCAAGAAAAAGATTTTGTGCTAAAACTCCAGTACAAGTTTTGACATTTCCTAATTGTGTACAATCTTGCATGGATTTATTTTTAAAATACAATATACATATTTTTTTTATTAATTTTAGATATTTGCAAATTTCGATAGAAAGTTCTCAAACTGGACTTCAATATTACCATTAGCTTTAAAATTATAAAATTTAAGTATTAGTACTAAGTACTAAGTTAATTAATTTAAAATATTATTGTTTAATTAGCATACATGTATGTATATAATGTGCGAATATTAAGAATGAGTAAATTAACGCAAACTGTGTTATAAGTTATAAAAAGTATAACAATTATTACAAACTATCTAAAAACATATATAAGATATCTAACAAAAAGATAATATATATATTACTCTTATACATATGTATGTACATATATGTATGTATAATTTTTAGCCAAACATAACACAAAAATAATGGTAATAATGGTGTACTCTTTTACATACATATATAATTTTTAGTCAAAAAAATTATTGTAAGAACAAGTGCGAAACGGTTATGTTCGAGTGTAACCGAACATTTCATAACCTTGCAACTTGCAAGGATCAAAGACGAGGAAATACCTTCAGGTGTTGGCAAAACTTAATGTCAAACAAGTAAGGAAGGGTTAAGTTCGGGTGTAACCGAACATTTCATATTCTTGCAACTTGCAAAAATCAAAGCCCGAGAAATTCATTCACTTTTAATTAAAAAATTTTGCGAAAGAATTCAACAGTCATTATTCGAAAAAAGCGGCGTTATCATCCGATTTTCCACTATCGTAAGAAAGGTAAAAAAAGATTTTTCCTGTGCAAATTCGATTGATATAGCCTTATTGGTTTGGAAGATACATACATTAAACTTATTAGGGGGCGGGGTTAGACTAAGTTTTTAAAGATTTTCAAACCATAAGTGCTCCTTTTTATTGTGATTCGTTGTACTAATTACAGTTCTGTATTTTACGGCTTAGTTATGGCACTTTATACGTTTTCGATTAATGGCGTTTTGTGGACGTGGCAGTGGTTCGATTTCGCCCATCTACAAACTCGTTCCTACTTTTTTGTCAAGGAACACCTGTACCAATATTTACTCAAGTTACAGCTTGCACGGACATACGGACCGACAATCACCGGGCTTTCAACTCGTTTCGTCACCCGGTCTAGAGCAACCCAAATCATGTTCAGCGCTTAATCATTAATAGGATAAGGTTTGTTAGTGTAACGGAAATTATTATATGTAGTATAATAGAATTTGACATATTTTCGGCATTAAACTTAAGTATATCCAATATACGTACAAAGTCAGTCATAGGCTCTGGGGTCCACATTTTCGGTATCTGGGGGCTTGAATAGTTAGGACTATTTTTAGACTTGAGGTGGCATACCTAAAAGGGACAATTCGTGCAAAAGGCACAATTCGTGAAAAAAATCAGATGGAATTTAAAGTTGAGTTATATGGGAAGAAAGCGTGGTTTAACTCCAATTTCCGCACTATAATATTACCAGAAGCAACATGCAAAAGATGGTTTCAACGGTTCAGATATAATAATTTTTATGTGAGAAATGAAGAACGAGGAAGATCACTAAAAAAGCTAGAAGACGCCGAACTGCAAGCAAAATTGGACGAAGATGATACTTTGAGTCAAAAGCAAATGGCAGCCATGTTTCTATTTCTTTATTTAATTTTTCGAAAAATTAATTTTTACAAAAAATCAAAAACTAACCCCATATGTTATTTCGTCTTGAACGCAAAATAACTTTGGACGCCCAAGTGTGGACCGACCAAGATTATTTTTTTTAAGCGCGACCGAAGGCCGCCAGTGCGGAAAGGAGTTCGACAATCTCCGCTAGTCGTCCATACAATCAGATCGCGGCGCAAAAGTCCTCAGTATTTTTTCCACAAGAACATGTCTAACTTGTTGAACTTGCAACATTACATCTAACTAATCTGAATTCTGCCTCTACAACAACACCTCTGCATTCATGATCTGGATGACTTCCTCTATCCGCCCATACCCATTCTATCCCCGAAAGCCTGGGACGGTATACTAGAGTCGACTCATAAATAAATTAGCGATAAAATTCACTTTCACCGTTCACCGATTTGTAATCTCCGCGTCAAAATAAGACAATTATAAAAAGGGTATCTGTATTCAATTTTTGAGGTCTCCGCAATACAATGTAATTAGTTTAGTGTCATAAAAATGTACTGAGATTCTGTCTGTTAATAGTCTTTCGTGTCAATCTTAGAAACAGAGCTTAAACTAATTAAACAAAAAGCACAGGTCCTTACGCAAGTATGTTATGTATACTTTAGCAGGTTAAACTCGTACTACTATCCGTATTATTATAAAATAAAGCCCCGCATGGCAATTATGACGATTTTTTACATTTCACATTAAGCCATATAATAATGACCAATGCTGGCATACCCACAAAACAAAATAAAACCTTTTTGCAACGCACGTTATTTGACGTTGCCGAGAGCATCCAGTTAAGTTTCCCTCTAAACAGGGGTTATAACTACAACTCGATATAATTATATTAATATAATAATTTAAATACCATGCGCTTATTGAATCCAGATGGAGCATTTCGAAATCCTTTTATTGCTTGAAATATACCACCTCCTATGCAACCCATTGCAAAAGCACCTCCACAATCATCAACAATCCTGAAGGGACATGGTTCTCTCGCATATTCCTCCATCTGAAATATATTTTTTGGTCAATTATTGACCAAATTCACGACATATTTCTTAATTATACTCACAATATATTATATATCACAATCAGATTTATCAGACACAGCACCACTAAACTGTAAAATAAACCAATAAGAATTATACACCAAACAATAACCCGACGACAAACGACAGGCAAATGGTTTAAGGGAATAGCGAAAGTGACCATTTGCAGTAGGGATGGCGATCTAAAATCGATTAATCGAAGAATCGATATATATTTTTTATATTTACAAAAATATTTTAAAATCGATATGTGGTATTGAATCGATTTTTCACCCTTGAAAATCGACGTTCGATCTTTTTTTGTATTAACTATTTACAATTATAATTATAATAGTGCTGCCGGTTTAAGAATTATTTATTCAAAAACTCGCGAGATGGCTGTATGTTTAGATTCCTTCCCTTCTCTTGAATAAAAAAAGTTACGTTGTAGTCTTTGACGTGGATCAACATGGACGCGTCTCGTGAGTTAGGGTAGCGAGGGGTTAAAACGGGTTACGCATAACAAAAAACATTGTAATAGTTATTTATAAATATTTTCAACTCTGGTTATAGAATGATGTTTAATGCTGTTAACATAATATTGTGCCATGTTGATATAGTTAAATATGCGGTATATTGTAACAGAATTTATATTAGAAATCATAATAATTCTTATAAACAATAAATCAAAATTTATCATTGTAGATATATCAAGAAATATTTACTGAGACGATGATTTCTCGAATTTAGGTTTACATTTCTTTAATAACAAGTTTTTATTTACTTTTAATATTTCAGCATTTAGGGATGAAAATATGTACAATATTTTATTAACAACTCTTTACATAAAAAATTACCATATTATTACATAGTGCTAGGTTTAGCTTTTAAATGTATGGACTTCTTAAAGAAATTATTTGTTGAAGTTGCAATATATTAATAGTAAAAAATACGGTAAGTATACCAGCGAGGAAATTATGTACAATATTTGATTAACAACTCTTTACATAAAATAATAATATATTATTATTTTGCAAATATTTTTCGGACAACTTTTTCATTAATTTAAAGAACTATTTTCCAGTCAAAAGTGGATGGATGGATGTCAATAGAAACTCAACCACTAATCGGACTCACAGAGCAGGATCCATCCGTTTCCATAACAGTCCGGTCTACGTAACCGGAACGGACCCGGATTTTTTCCGGCCAAGGACTGTCAACTCGACAAAATTCTGCCGCTACAACGCAAGCAGAGGATCCATGGTCACAGCATATGGTCGTACGCCAAATTTTATTATGCACGAGAACAAATGATTTTGGACGAAAATGAATTATAAACTGTATTCTATTTCTTTTTTTAGATTTTGTTTACAATTTGTTCAAATTCTTCAATAAAATTTAAATACTATTAACATTGTAAATAAATTTTATTTTTTATTGGTCGAATGTCGACCCTAGTTAGTTTTAATTTATATTACAATGACGGAAATGTTAGGGCCAAAACTATGTATGGCGCATACCAAAAAGGCTTCGAGATCACTCAAATCCATTGGAATTTCCGAACACGAAGCAACCTCAAAATTTATTGACAATTAAATGGCTTATTAATAATTTTTGTTGCAGATTCATACGTTACTTTTGTTTCAATGAGAAAACAATTTTTTTTTTGCTAAATGAAATGTAGGACAAACACTTGTCTCATTTAATTTCGGCATTTCCTTTACGAGTTTAATAATTTAATTTTTTTTGTAAACAGAGTTTCTATGTATCTGTATAAAATAACTGATAGCAAAATAGTTGAAAATTATTTAAGATAGTTTGTATACCCCTTTCCTACTATTTTTTTTCAGAAATTAACAAAATTATGCCTGTGACAGACATATACTATCAATACCATGATACAAATATTATGGTATTTTGTTTACTACGTTGATTACACACATTGAATTGTAGTAAATCCAAATTCATAGCCAATAGTTATTTTAAAAAATTGTCAACAATAAGTATGTAGATATGTGTAATAGAGAAAGTAAGTAATATTATTTCAAATAATGCAAAAATTATAGTTTAAGTATTAGTACAAGAAAAAAATGCATAAAAAATATGTTATTTTCCATTTTATTTATTAATTTTAAAGTCATTTTGACGGAATATTTTGAAGAGCTTTTTTGTATAAGCTTTTATCTAAGTTCTTTACCTTTTTTTATCTGTGTTTGTTTTAATACCACAATGAAATATGATAGTATTCTTACCAAGAAGTTCTGGTATTTAGTGACACACATCTGGTATTCGTTCGTACCATAGTAGTTAGCATATGCCTGTCACAGGTATAAATGTTCAACTACAACTTTTCAAGTTGTACAATTCTGATAATATTTGAAGATTTTTAAAATTATTTATTAACTATATTAGCATTTGATAAAGTATTTGTAAAATAACATGAGTATATTAAGAGACGTTGTAAATGCTTAAAAAATACTATAAAATGAAAATACGTTTTTACAAATTATAAATTATTCGTTATTATTTGATTGCAATCATCAATGCCTAAAATGATTGCAATCATCAATGCCTAAAAGGATTGCAAATTCTCAACACGGCTACTATCTTACTACACTACGGCTACAGTTTTTGCGAGCTATGGAAAAAAATGTTTGAATTGTAAAATACTTTAAATCGACAAGAATTATGTTTCCATATTTGTCAATTTTTTCTGTGTTTGCGGGTTTGCTTGGTTGACACTTGGCTTGCAAACGCATGTTCGGGGAGTACGCGTAAAATTTGTATATAAAGTGTTTTAAATATGTATAACAAAGTGCATTTATTAGTGAAGAAAGTGATGAAAACATAGTGAAAGAAAATGAGTGAGTACTCTATATACATACATTTTATTATTGTCACAAATGCAATAATATCGTTCTTTTTGTTCAAATTTTTTGAATGAATAACCAAAAAGTGTAACTTGAATTAATATCAAAAAAAATTAGCTTTTGACATACCCATTCGAATAGTCTGTGGGTTACCCGTCGGTTGTCGGCTTTGAGAAAGAAGAGTTTTGAAAATTATACTCATTTGGTTTCATGTTTACCATATACCATAAAATTTGACAAGTTATTCGACAACTCGTTACCAACACCTAGTATTGTTATACAAACAAGTGATAGTGCATATTTTATTTTCATTAATCAAAAGTTTATTATTTTTTCTTTCAAACAAGTTAATTATATACACTTCTTACACATTTAAATGCTTTTCGCATGTCTTAAAAGCTACGCCGACACCAAATCCCGATCCAATCAATAGAGGCCAAGTTTTTCTTTTCAGCATCAGAAGTGAAAAAGTGACACCCATACATAAACCAGTTGCTAAAAACAAAAAAAAAGATATATTTAAGCTTCTTTCCTTGGATTAAATACGATGTATAATATCTAAATTTCGAGCTCAGTAATAGTGTTTTTGGAGTTTTTCGATTCACGATATTTTTTGGGCCTAGCAATGATCTAATCCCGCTTATCTACAATACCAACGTTCTCATAGTGTTAAAGATCCACGTTTCATCAAGATATCTCACATTTTTGCTCAAGCTATCGATTGCGCGTACGTACGGTCGGGCATACATTCGTCTGGTCAACTTGATCCTTTTGATAACTATCTATTTCGATTAGTTTAAAGTATTACAAAGAACAGTTAGCTGAAAAAATTTATTATACTCTGCGGCAACTTGTTGTGAGAGTATAAAAATATATCTTAGAATATTATCAAAATTGTTTACACATTTGCTAATTGTCGTTTACAGAAGTCGCCGAGTTTAAAGATCTTATAGTTTTGTTCGACTCTAAGCTAACATTTATCAGTCTATTAATTATCCGGATCATTCGTGTACGTTTATCTGATGTGAATATCTATAAACTACTCTTTACTTCTCTTGGTCTCGTATTTTCAAATGAAATATCGAGTTAATAAATTTATAATAAAAAAGATTTGGAAATTATTATAACTGAATTTATAAAAATCGTCATCAAACTTCATAAAAAGAAACAGTAATACCAGCCTAATGCTAAAGAACACCTAATTAGATTCTCTAGCATTTTATAATAAATATTATAGCAAGTCGGAATGGAAGGATATTTCCAAATATCGGATAGATATTGGCGATTGAATGAAAGTCCGTGAGGCTCCTCGAAATGTTCTGCCAGCGAAAAATGAAGCGTTTAAAAGTTATATAAAAGGAATGACCACAAATAATGATTTAACCATAAGCGAGTTCATGTTGCTAGTGAAAAAATTTGTCCACGATTACCAACGGTTTATTAACTCCGATGTTGGGATTAAAAATTAGATTTTAATTTTTTAATCCAATATGTTTGCGATTAACAATTTAAGATCATTTTTTGACTACAACAAATTCTTTTTTTAATTCTTATTTTCATTTACATATGCTTGAGATTAAAATTTCTCTTTTTTATTTTTCAATCCGGTAAAAAAATGTATTATTTTTAATCCGGTTTTTGGGAAAAAAATTTTTTTTTTAATCCGGTATGTGGGATTAAATTTTTTTTAGTTTTTCAATCTTCGTAACAATTTCCTGCAGATACCGCTGGCTTTCTTGCGTTGAATCTCTAAAGTAACTAATTTCTTTGACATTGAAAAATTACTGTTTTATCTAATTTTCACCTGCGAATCGAGAAACGGTCGTAGTCGAATTGCTTTAAGCCGGCGCAAACAGTAGCCAAGCCATAATTGACGATCAGGAAGGTTTTGCTTTGTATTTGGTGGGACTGGCAGATTATCATCTGCTATAAGTTGCTCCCCTACGTCCACTTAATTCGGATCTGTACTTACACCAATTGGACCATGTGAAGAAAACAATCAACTAGAAACGTCAGAGTTGACCATTGTGCTGACGTTGAGTCCAAAGCGGGCCTTGAGGAATTTTTCCACCTCGGTTAGGTGCAACACATGTAATGGATAGAGTCAACTTAAGACCTGCTCAGACTTAAAAAATCATAGAGAGTGGACCACAAGTTTTGTCGCACCAAGTGCCATAGTATTAAGAAGCTTAACTAAGCAGCTCAGTCTCATCAGTTCTACCCTCCATCTTCATCCCGCTCAAATACATCCGTCAAGTGCAATTTCTGGCACCATATCGGTGTTGCAGAGTTAATGACCGGCCGGCGGATGGCATTCTTTGTTGAAAACAATGTTTCTTTGTCTTCTCTCCAGCTAGGATTTTCTTAATTACTTTGTACTTTGTACATTGGCAATTATCGCCGTCGTAAGCAGAGTAAAAGAGCACATGCATAAATAGTATGAACAAATAGAAATGAACACAAGTTAAATATTGAATCAAAATTATTTTTGGACTATTTAATGTAATGTAATTTTGTTGAGGACTAAACAAATATGGCAAAAAAAACTGTAAAATTTTGTCGTTATTTTTTCTTCATAAAATAATAGTTATATTTTGATTTTTATTTTTCGCTTACACAATTAGTTATTCGATAACAGTAATTTATTGCTCACAGAATAATAGTTATGCTTTGAGTTTTACTTAACTTGTACGCAATTGGAAGTGAAGAGTTAGGTCTTTGTTTTGCTTTGATAATAAATAATACTCCCATGCAAAATTATTTGCTTCTAAATTTTATTTTATTAATTTCTAAATCGAATAAACACGGACTTTAAAAAGTTTACTTTTTGAACAATGAAAATATATCAAAAAGCTTAGTTCAGTGGAAACTACGTATATTTATACCTGTATCTAAATTTATAATCTGGAGAACCACCTCTATCCGCCTATATACCACCCTGGTGTTGTATCGGCCAGGGTTATTTTTTTGAAGCGCGTAATCGAAAAAGTACGTACTTTAAATATTATATTTATTTAACTTTAAACGCAAATATCACGAATAGATATATCTATATATATTCTCGATCTGGAGGATCTCCTCTATTCGCCCATACCCATTTTAATTCCGAAATCCTGGTACGGTATTCTAAAGTCTTCCCTACTACTTGTACACAGCCTTTTACTGCGCTGTCAAATTTTTAAAATTGTCTATAAAACTATGGTGTCAGATTTTTATTGCTTTAAATGCTAGGGATTATGCAACAGACTAGTAATAAAGCACTCAATATGATTATGCTCTAAAATTTAGTATATAAAAGTTATTGTCTAACAAAATAAAATAAGGTATTAGCGTGTACGCAGACTCTTTCTGGCGAGTGTATACATAAATTATTGAAAAAAGTCACTTTCCGCTCACGGATTTGTAATCTTTGCGTCAAAATAAAACGATTTTAATAAAAAAAAAAGATTTCATTTTGGAGGCCTCCTTCGTTTGGAGAGCTTAACTATACATTTACCAAATTAATTATAGTAATTAGTTTCCTGACGATGTATAGAAATAACCGTTTATCAATAAAATAGTCAACTCATTACGCAATTAATAATAACCACAACTTACATCCCTTTATTAACACATCAGTGCAACATCGATCTAAACGTTTTCCAAAATCATCCTCTGGGAAGCCGACTTTAGGAACAACCATTTTAAAATAACTTGTACTTTTGTTTAGAGAAAATTAACTTCTGGATCTTCACGTAATAATATGTAAATAGTGAGATATGCTCCTGATTTTATTGAATATTGTTACATCGATAATTAACAACACTTTCTAGGCACATTTTTACAGGTCATCTCCACGTGCAATAACTACTGCCTAGAAATACTAGATTTATGGCAATTTCCATTTGAAGTGGCCAATCACGGCGTACGCGAGTAAAACTTACTTACGCGAAAATTAACGTTTTATTAAAATTTTGCCAGATCAGATTATATATTTATTATATCTGATCTATATATCTAAATTAAAACACCCAACGTTTATTGCGATTAAAAATTATAATTTGTTAACCATTTAATATATGAAGTAACAATTTATATATGTTTTGGTGATTTAATGGTATATTGAAACAACTGATTTTAAAATTTACAACAAAAAATAAAGTGATTTAAACTATTTGGCAGTCCAATAATAAACTTTCAATAGAAAATTAATACTTCTTAATTCACTATTTCACTAAGTGTTTCGTTGCATTCCTATTTTTATGTTTATGTATATTATTTTTAACTTATTCTACTAGTCTACGGTCTTGTGTAAGGGCCGTTTCCTCAATATATGGTTAAGCGCTTAACCATAACTTTAACGGCAACATGTTGAAAAAGAAAAGTTCTGGTAAACTTTACCGAAAGAAGGATTCTTGGCTAGTTTCAGACCAGAACATGAAATGACAGTTGTAAGCTATAAAATCTATAAGAAATATCAATAATTCTGTTTCGTTGTTTTTAAGAATATTTTACTTTAGAAACCCAAAAATGCAAGCCTGCGTCAACTAATAATTAGGCAGTATGCAGTTCAGATATATTAGTTCTGTATGACACTGCTGAATGAGTCAAAACGAATGCTTAATAGGGATGCTAACAGCGCGCGAAAAGTCGCCTTTCGATTTTAGAGTCGACTTGGAATTTTATGACTCTTAAAGTCGATTAATCATAGCTAAAAGTCGACTTTTTTAAAAATTATACAATTATATTTCCGTCATTTATGTTATACTTGTACTATGCTTATTTAAAACGGTTACCAAGGATACCAGCGATGATGTTTATTTTTGTCAAATCAGAAAAAGGTTAGTTTAACGATAAGGTATAAAAAAGTATAAGAGAGTCGGTACATGAAAACGATACAAACTGTACTACCATCGAATGTTATAACTGTTGACAGAAAAGTCGAAGTCATCAAGCATGCAAATTCGATTCTAAAAAGGCGGTTATTTTAAGTTAAAGATCGATTCTAGACCAAAGTCTGAGTCGACTTTCTTATCCCTAATGCTTAATCACATGTACGTATAAGGAGAAAGGTGTGAAACTTGTTACGACACGGCCACCAGGTTTATCGCCACTTTTGACTGATAGGGAATAGTCTAAAATTATAAATAAAAACGTTTTTTTTTTGTATTTTTCCTAAGTGAACACAGTAATGTTCAACTATAACTATTTGGTAGCAGTTGAAATTTTTTGATACTCTAGTCAACCCCACTGGCACTGAGCTGCTCATCTCAGCCTCTCAGTACCTATTCAGGTTCTTGAACTTGTTAGGGGGCGACATCTTTAATCGCAATCATGAATCATGTTGAGATTTGTGACGTTTTCCGTCAGTTCACATTCCTTAGGTTTGGATCTTTCAGAAGCAGCTAGTTGTTGTTGTAGCGACAGAATTCTGCCGAGTTGACAGTCCTTGACCGGAATAAATCCGGGTCCGTTCCGGTTACGTAGACCCGACTGTCGTGGGAACGGAGGAGAGATCCTCTTTTCCCATCCTGAAGCATGGCTATCAGGTTTCCTATTTGTTCGCCAAGTTGGTAGAAAGCTTATATATTTTTTCCAATTCGGTCCCTTCTGACCAAAGGTGTCGCATTCTACAATGTATCTTGCTCGACGCTTACTGGTATACTGTTTTCGCGTCTAGTATGTAGTGGAGGCGTCCTCATTATTGCTGAGCTTCTCCTAAAAGCCGTGTGCTCTTTTCCGTTTTAATGTTCGTTTTGTAGTTCCGTTGTGGTATTGATGCGTTTTGGTTTGGTTAAATTGTTCAAGTTTATGTGATTGGGTCCCGCTTCAGGGCCGCTCGCTATGTGCAATCGCTGTGTTGATCCCGTTATTATCTTACGGGTGCCTACGTTCAGTGCCACATCAGGGTAATTGGGAGCATGCTCAACCGAAAATTGCAGTACCAACTCAATGGCGGCAAGCATTGAACATACCCTGAGGCCTTGCCAAGGTTTTAGTGGCGACGGGGTGCTTCCGTAGCATTAACCGGCAAGCCAGTTCAGCAAGATGTCACTCCGCTTACTGAGGTTGCCAAATATAACGTCTGTCAGCGCCAAATCAGCCTTTTCCAGTAGGGTCATACTGGGCTCAGACTCTGGCGTCCGTTTAAAGAGGCATTTGCCATTTATGTCGCGGTTTAGGACTCAATCCTAGCGCGTCGCGTTGCGTAGTGTTAACAGCCGCACCTAATTTGGTGAACAGACGCTGACCAGGAAGCCGCCCAATTGTGGATCCGTCTCGCCTGGATTTTCGTATTACCCATCATGTCCATGCATGATGAGACAGACACATATTTCTGTGAGGCGGTGTCTATTCGCCAAAGTCACAGGAGCTTCAGCGGATCTTCTAGCTTTAAACCGCATCTTCCACTCCTGCCGCACATCGTCGGGGATTGCTTATTCGTTTTAACTTATTACGCAACTGACCTGCTACTACAGGCCGTTCGGCTATCCGCGACCTACCGAATCACTGGTAGCTTAGAGCCCAACTACAGCGCCCAAACTCGACAGAACAGACCACGCCATCCGGAGCAGGTGATCTCTGGGTGTATGCATCTGAACGTACCGAAGGATGCACAACAACAACGCAAGGTAGTGTTAATTTACTCAAATATTTTAAAGAAAAAGTCGTTAGATAACTTTACTGAAAACAAATAAGTAAGTAACATAATCTATCACATGTGTACACCTTTTTAGGAGTTTATTGAGAGAGAGGGTTTATTGACTTCATGAGAGTGATAATTTATTACATTTAATTTAATACAATGTTCTGTTATTTCTTTTAAAATCACTGGCGACGGCGAGAAGTGCGTTGCTTATCAAATCTCAACTCCATTTCCTCAAGAACCTTGGGAGTATAACGTACAACTAGTTTTACAGATCCAACAGCTTGCTTTAGAAGTTCCACAGCTTTTTCGTGATTTTCGCCTTCCACGGACTAGAAAAAATGCAAAGTATTTATCAAGTATGGATACGAGTATAAAACGCAAATTAATATTGTGCGTTCCTCCAATATTTAAGTACAATATACTTTGTAAAAAAATAATAATCTAATATTCATAATACTGAATTGTAAAAAGCAGTATGTACCTTAACATAATACTAAAAGTTATCTCTTGAAAAGTGCAAGTATTCACACTAATTCAAAGCTATTCAAAAATTTTCCTAATTTTTTCCGAATTTTGTATCCGCTTTACGAATTTAAAAATTACTTAAGTATATTTACAGTGTACAGCATAAGTGAAAGTACGGTTGGTTAATTCCACTGTTTTTGATAATATTACTAAAAAAATAACGAAAATAACCCGGATAAATTGTTAGCATTTCTTTATTTATTTCTTTTACAAAAACAAAAATTACATAGTTTTCGTTGACGCAACAACAAAATTACTCAAAGTTCATCTAAAATATGAAAAATGTGTTTTTTGTTTTTATAGGAGAAATAAATTAAATAAAGAAATGTTGTACATGTATGTAAGTATTTGAGGTCGAAACGTAACATCCTATTCCTATTTTTCCTTAATACATAATGGAATATTCTAGGATTGATCTTTAGCCAAAAATAGAAGCACAGAGAAAGCTTCTGATTTTTAACGGAAATCGCGGTTTTTTCTTCACGTGATTAGTGATTTTCATTAGTGATGTTGTCACTTTTGTTAATAGAGTTTCATCCCATTGCTTTAATTTCCCCTTAACTTTACCTTGTTTTATACTCTTGCAACATGTTGCTACAGAGTACAATAGTTTTGTTCACCTAACGGTTGTTTGTATCATCTAAAACTAACCAAGAATATATATATATAGTTATATATATACAGTTACTGACGATAAAATTTAATATAGATGAAAATAAATAACAATCTATATTACATTCCTACAATATTTTTTAAACACTATGATGGTAGCTCTGTTACATCTTCCTAGGCGACAAAACGGCTGACGAAGACGACACGGAAGAGGTCGACGACGCCATCCAGTTGCTAAGGGAGGTGGCCATAAATATTAAACAAACTTAGATGTGTGCAGATAAATCTGCAGCACTCCAAGAGCCCTGGGTGAAGGACGCCGCGATCAAAGGGCTAAATAGCAGAAACATCTATTACAAGAAAAATGAAGGTAAACCACGAGCATGCGCTATTATCAAGAAATATATAAACGCATTTCTTTGTTCTAACTACAGCACAGCAAATAAAACGATGCTATGGGCGGAGATGGAAGCAGGTAACTTCTTTCCAGTGTCATCATACATGGCGTACGACAGGGACGTGCCACCTGTACCTCTAGTAAAACAGAGGAAAACATAAGAGAGGATATACAAAATAATAGAGTGACGCCGACATACCATGTGGGGAAACACAAACACCAGGGCTGAGTCACTACAGCAATATATTTTAAATAGTAATCTAAGTATAAGTAATAGGGGCGATGAGCCCACCTTCATTTTCCCAAGTTTGGAAAATTTTTCGGGTTGAGAGGAAGTCTTGGATCTCACGCTATAAACAGAAACAAATAGCCTGGTCGTCGATGACTGGAGGGTGTCAGAGGAGCCATCTATGTCGAATCATTCCTGGATACTCTTCCTCTTCGCGACAAATCCAATACTCTCCTCGAATATCGAAAGGAAAACAATATGGGATACATTTATCAAGATAGCAACAAAAACCTTAGAAACAAGTAGGTTTAGAATAAAATTAGTAATTCTCAAGAAATAGATGCGGAACGGTGACCTTAAAACTCTAAGAACTCAATTGAGAAAAGCCTTCAATGAGAGTTATGTGACCAAATTCTGGCAATCGTATATTGAAGCAATATAAAAAACGGTCGAGAAAGAAAAAACCGACTCTTGGCAGTCTTTCTGCAAATCGATAAAAAGATGCAAAGATCTAGCTAGACTGAGTAAGATACTGTATAAGGAATGCAACAATATACCAAGTGTACTGTGTTTGGTGGGTTCAGAAGGATGCGGTTATCATGAGTTTCTAAAACCTCGTGAAACTGTTAATACTAATCATTACAGACAACAAATGATCAATTTGAACCATGCATTGATCGAAAAACGACCAAAATGGGCCAGAGGACGCGGCAAAGTAATTTTGTTACACGTCAATTCACTTGCACACAAAGCAAAATCAGCCCTGCTGACCTTGTCGACTCCAACGATTAATTCCAGGACGGCTTTGAGCTCTTTAGCAGGTTAAGTAGATTTATTCATAATTTGGGTTTCCGGTCAAAGGAAAGGCAGACGAGTTAACACCATTCCCGCTGGGAATGATCAAAAGAGAACTTTATATGCATTTTGTATAAATAACTCAGAGCAGATGGAAATCAATAACAAGCTGCAAGATAACAAAGCAGATTTGGCCCTAGTATGAAAAGAGCAGAACCAAGGACTTTATAAATAGATCAAGAAATAGTGTATACAGACATACAGCCACTTTAACAGGTCACTGGCCCTTTGGAGAGCATGCGCTAAAAATGGGCCTGCCTTATAACAATATTTGCCCCAATTGCAAGCTAGAAGGGAATAAGGAAACTATTTTCCAATTCTGTGAATGCCCAGCTCTGTCACAAACACGACACAAAACACTTAGAACCCATAAAAGGTATAACGAATATAAGAAGTTGCATTGAGAGTACTAAATGGTTTGAGTGCAACGAAGGGAATAAGGAAACTATTTTCCAATTTTGTGAATGCCCAGCTCTGTCACAAACACTACTCAAAACACTTAGAACCCATAGACACCAAACCTTGAATGGTTGTCCACAAAAGGTATAACGGATAAAAGTAGTTTCATTGAGAGTACTAAATGGTTTGAGTGCAACGATGAAACGGGATAGAAAAGTATCAGTTCCTACGAAAGTGCATCAAAATTTCGCATTCAACACTATTTGGCCCATGTGGGCAGCACTCTTACCTACCTAACTACCTACCTATATAACCTTTAAGATATTTGTTAAAACTTGACATTTTGTTATGAACCGAGGAAAGCACTACACAGCGGCAGAGCTTAAGCTTATAAAAAGTTTTCAATATAAAAAAAACTCAAAAAATTTGTGTTTACTGCTCTAAAACCTCAAAAAAATGAGAATTGGGGGAACGGCCACGAAAAACGACGTCTCAGGATGACAATTACATAGACAATGTTGACAAGAAAGACAGCGGAACAATCGAATTGTTTTTGCTTCAGCGCATATCAATTGGACCGATGAAGAAAACGAAAAAAAGTGGCATAAAATCCTTTAGTCCGAATCTAAAATAAATATGGTAGGTAGCGATAGAAAAAATTGGGTTTGAAGAATGCTGAAATGAAGGGTGTGTTCGAGATGCCAATCACTTGCAACAGCATCACGTTCTACTGTCACTTTCTGCACGCAATTTATGCAAATAATCGGCAAGACTAAATTGTTGTCTGCACATCAGCAGAGTATCAACAAATATGCAACACAGTAGCTGTACTGCAGCAATTATTACGTAGCTCGAACGCACCCGAATTCCCGATACACGACAAAAACTTTCAAACAGAGATGGTAATATCATGATATGGGGATGTTTTTCGTCCTACGGAGTTGGACCGCTGTCTTGGGTTTGTGAAATAATGAACCGTTACCACTATCTTAGAATTTTAGAAGATGATGTAATGCTTCCTCATGCTAAATGGAACCTGCCTTTAGTTTGGCATGTCAATAACCCGAAGCATACCTCGAGTGTGGTCAACACTTGACAATAGGATCAAGGAATCGATGTTATGACTTGGCCAGCGCAATCTCCTAAATTAAATGCTATGGAAAACCTGTGGAAGTTTGTAAAGGAAAAGTTGGGACCCACGATGGAAAGAGGAGCCATGGGAAATAGTCTAAGAGGTGTTGTATTCAATACTGAATTCAGCCTGTAAAGCGCTAGTGGAATCTATGCCGTACCCGCAAATAAAGGTTTTGCAACAAAATTCTAACTTATATCCATTTTTTAATTATAAATGTCTACTATTTATGAGTTTTGGTTCCATGATTCCATTTTAGTATCAACTGACCGACAGTTTCTTTAAAAGTTCTTTGCTTATAAAACTAACTATTTTAATTAGTGAATAAAATGTTGATTCAACTTTATTGTCAGTAACTGTTCAAGCATGACGAGACGTGTTCAAATCCAATTGACAGACAGTCTGTCCGTCCGTCTGTCTGTGCATGCTGTAACTTGGGTAAAAATCGAGATATCGTAAGGAAACTTTGCACAAGTGTTCCTTGGCAAAAAATACGAGGGACGGAGGAAACGCCATTTATCGAATTCTATTAAATGCCATAACTATGCACTAAACGAAGATATAAAGGCGGAATGTACATATCTCCTAAACCACTAAAGCTACAATGCAAGCACCCCAACCGACACTGTGAAAATCCGTTCCCCCGACAGTCGGGTCTACGTAACCGGAACGGACCCGGATTTTTATCCGGCCATGGACTGTCAACTCGACAGAATTCTGCCGCTAAACCAACATTATTGTGAAAATGGATGAAGTCGGATCATAACCCCGCCCACTACCCACATAAGGGTCTAGTTAAAAACTATTAAAAGCGCCAGGATGGTACGACAGGGCTTAATAGGAGCTCACATTTATGGGAAATCACATATCTCAGGACCTACTCGACCAATTACAACCAAATTCATGCATAATATTATCCTGACATTGCAATGTTCCGTATGTATGTGCGAAAATGGGCAAATTCGGACTGCAATCACATCTACATATAACACAATTTTAAATTCAATCTGATTCTTTCACTGAATGCAAATGAAGCACTAAAGAATATGTCGGGATAAAATTTTGCGCGAATAGTGCGACCTTATACTCAAAAATTATCAAAATTGGACTACAACTGTTCAAGCCCCCACATACCGAATATGTGAACCCCAGTTCATACAGCGAACATATTATCGAAAATACCGGTCAATATGTGAGAAATGTTATTTGGTAAATCATTTCCTGATAACAGCAGATTCACACTTCCGGTTTACTTTATACCGCATATATCAGCAAATATGTAAGTTATCTTTGTTAAAATTAAAGAGCGTGTTTTATTAATAACAATCAAATGGACAAGTTTCCTTAAAAATTATGTGATTTACCGCTGAAAATGAATGAAATTAATTAGTCCAGAATTTGGTCACAGCCGAACCTATATATCTCTCCTTGCTTTAAAGTATATTTTAAATAAATATTTGAAAAATGCATAACTAACAAGCAATTTCTATTTGAATTTTAGTGCAATTTTGTCCTTCGAAACGTATACATATTAAATTAAGTATCTCTTTCTATATACAAATTATAAAATACTTTTATGAAAAACTGTCTACTGAATTATTAACACAGCGTGCTCAATACATACGCAAAACTGTAACGATAAAAATTGGACATAATAAAGGTAATTCCCAGAATTCGTATCACATTTACAAACATTTCGCAAAGGACCCCCTTGATGGTCTTGGAAGGAATTTTTTTATTTGTGCTTAAATGGAGAACCGATAGCTTCATGAAATTTTTAGTCATATTTTCCTAAATTTTTTTGATATACACTAATGACTAATTTTGCTTTAAAAAAAGATTTAAAGTTAGGACCAGAGAACTGCAACGAGTTATACATTTTGTTCATTCATACAATCCGTTACTCTGGCTGATTCTGTCAGTTTAATTTATGTACACGAATCGAACCGTTCGTCTTCAAATCAGCGACAAAGAACAAATGCGTATCAGTAGCGATCGGCTTATACATGATTATAGCGCAAACAGTCACCGAAATTCCTCCCTTCCGTACTTACCGCCCGTATCAAACCAAATTTTTCACAAGTTATGCCCGTAGTTGCAACGCAGAAACCAGTTGTTCTCTTTTGTTTTCATTTCACCAACGTTGCCATTGCTCTAGTTGTATACACGATTTTTTACACATTTAGTTTTTTAGTTATAATTTTTCATAATGTAAAAGCTCAAAACTAAAATCCAACTATTAAAAATAGTTTACCTATTTATAAATAAGTGTATTCGAATGTGATTTTTAGTTATTTTAAGAGTATTTCTAATATATTCAAGTTCATTTTTTAATTACTAAAAAATATCCCTGCGTTGCAAGAGATTGCTCCCTCACTCGTTTCTACGGAAAAAATCCCAATTTTCGCGGATATCCTACCGTACGGTCTGTTGAAGCGGATGATAGAAGCGGTGGTGACTGTTCATTTACATTGCGCTCTCATAAGATAGGTCGTATCAACTGACTCGGTCCACGGTTTTGCGTCGGTGACTGTTTGTGCCATTAGCTTTTGCAGGCAATAACCGTAAATAAATCATAAATTTGTATGATTGAAATGTTCGACAGTGTTCGGGTTGTATATCATATCCGATACACCATTTACTCGACTACGTGCTATACACATGTACAAGTACAAGTACATGTGTATGTATGTACGCATCGAAACCTTCCAACCCAAAGTTCACACAATTTTCTAAATCAATACTACATTACTCGAGTAAATTTGGGCAAGGATAAAAATTTGGGTGTACTCGTGCCTTACCCGCAGGCTCATATTGGTTCGATTCAAGTAATCGTCGCAAAGTATTGAGCTGATATGATTTACTTTGAACCGAAGTCACCCATACCATTTACTCTTTCGTGATTGTCGAAGGATAGATTGTGAATATTGCATCAAATCAGTTGACGATGGTCGGTACTAGAATCGATCAATAGTGTTGTATTCTGAAACAGTGCACGACGATCTCTTGAAACGAGAATGGAAGAGGTAAAAAATTTTAAGTATTGGAAAAGCAAATATTTCCTTACTGTGCTTGGTATACAAACAACAGCGTTATCTGCTGATAGCGTAGTGAATAATCTTTACAGCTGGTCACCAATGTATATCACTACATCCATGATCGTTTTTGAAACAGGCAGGACAATCAATTATTCAATAAGAAACATAAATTCCCTGAACAAACCAATGATATCTTGGAACAATCTGAAACTAAAAATTGGTGTGCCGATTTTAAGTATTGGTAATATTATTCAGCTAAAACCCTGTATGCACTCGACAAATGAATCCATATAATCAGGGGTGTTGTAGAATCTGATAGTTGTCGAAACAGAAAATGTATAGGTATTGAGTGTCACGAAAACCAATTTTATCAGTTTTATTATCAGAAACAAAGCAAGAGCATATTCGCCGACAGGTTTGAAATGTAAGTTAAGAAAATAATTTATATTTTGTTACGATTTTTTCTATAGGGGAAAACATAAGAATAAAACAGAAAATGACATAATTATTGAGTTTATGGAAAAAATTAAGATATTTTAAGAGGATTTACAAAACACAATAAACGTAATTTAATACTCAAATGCGTCTTTATTCAGTCGATAATGTGATATAAATCTGTAAAGTAAGCATGTATACAAACATACATGTAAATGCATCCAAATTTCACATGCGACTCTCCTGGTCCATTAAGTAGATTACTCTGATCTTTTAATATCTTCCTTTTAATTTTTTTGTTGATTTTTTCTTCCACTAAAATAAAAGTTAAAATAGTGGAATTCATTGAAAACTTTAGTGGACTTTATTCAGAATTTTCAATTTATCAAACGCTTATTGTGTGCATTTATTCATTTGTAAATTTTGTCACATTAGTAAACAGCTGATTCGAATATTGGTTTTGCATATGTTCGAATAGACAAAAATCCAAATAGAATCTGTGACACCATTGAAAATCAGAATTGGTTTACTTACAATTCTGACAACTACACAAATCTGTCGGAGATTCCACAACACCCCAGAATGATAATCTGCAACTCAAAATACGATAACGGGGGTTAATGATTTGCCGTTAGAGTAGCAACAGTTCATTAGCTGCACTCGTACTGCTTCGCTATGAACGCAAGCCTCGGTCTACATCACATGATTTTTTTCGATGCTAATTCTTGTTTCTACTTTTCCTTAAAAAAAAAAAAAAACTATAAGCATATCAATTTTAATGTTCTTGGACTCACTTACAATTTACAAAAAAAAAACTAAATATTTATTGTGTGCAGTACTCACCACACCATTAACAGATAAAAGTTGATCTCCTCTTTTTAGTCCTCCATGTCGGTCAGCTACACCACCGGGTATGATACGGGAAATGTAAATGGGCGAGTTTTGTTCTTTTCCTCCCATCACATTAAATCCGAGTCCTAGAAGAGGAAATTAAGCAATAACTGCATAAATTTACAAGTCAATAATCAACGAGAGTCAAGCGGCATTTCTTTTAATTTTCATATAAGTTTAATAAATAAGCTCTACTACTAACACGGAAGCCATTATGTTTGCTTTAAAATCAAGCTTTTATTTGGGAGAGTTCGATTTATTAGATTTAGGTCAACTATGCACCGTTTTTCTCGATAATCTTGTGAAAGATTACACACTTAATAACAACAATTAAACTATGTATATATTTATTTTAATCAAATATATGTACAGTATTAAAACGGTTTATAGTAAGTGAACATAAATTTATGTATGTATGTCTTGTCCTTTTAACTGTTGCTAACCAACAATTTTGCAAACGAACAAACAGAAAGATTATACCCCAAATACAGAAACCATTATCGGTAGATATTTTATTGTATCTTTCAGTATTTCCCTTCTCTTGAGAAACCCGGCGTTGAGGCCGACAACGCAAAAAGGGGTTCTATTCGAAAAAAACCAGTTATTTTTTTTTCAGCGCGGAGGCAGAAAGGATTTAAACTAAGGGAAAACTTTAGAATACCGTCTCAGGATTTCCTAAATAAATTGGTATGGGCGGACAGAGGAGATCGTCCAAATCAAGAATATTTTTACATATATAGATATACAAACAAATAGCCCTTATCGACCCAACACCGGGGTGTATCCAGTTTTTTTTTGCGTAGAACTGTTTTTTGCAGTGGCGGCCTGCAGTCGCGCTTTAAAACAAATAACCTTGGGCAATCCAACACAGGGGTTTCTCAAGTGAAGCAAAATACTAAAGGAATTATTATTATCAACGATTATGGCTTACTTCGTCTGCAATTTATGTTAGTATGGTAGCACTGGTTATTTGTCATTTTGTAACCCTTTTGTTATTGTGTGAACTAATAGAATTGAACAATAAGTTAAATATTGAATTAAATATAATATAAAATAAATGTGTAAGAACGAATTAGTGAAGTTTTAGTAGATATAAAAGTGAAATATATTATATAGATAGATAGATATTATATATAAGTGTAAAATTCATTATAAATCGAAGAAATATGCACTTAAAGTAGTTGAATTTTATAATATATATAATGCAAATACTTCTAAAACCAGATGTCAGCGGCAACTAAACGTAAAGATTTTCTTAATATGGAGAACCTCTATCCGAACAAATATTTTTCCCAAACTAATTTTGGTATAAGTATAGTTTAGTTCCCCCAACCAAGGAGGCCTCAAAAATTAATTTTTTTTAAATCGTCTTATTTTGACGCTATTATTACAAATCCGTGAGCGGAAGTGAATTTTTTCAATAATTAAAATTTTTTATTTATTTAAAAAAAAATGGACACCCCTGTGTTGGACTGACCAGAGTTATTTTTTGAAGCGCGGCCGAATACCGCCAGTGCGGCAGAATTCTGCCGAGTTGACAGTCCTTGGCCGGAATAAATCCGGGTCCGTTCCGGTTACGTAGACCCGACTGTCGTGGGAACGGCGGAGAATTCTGCCGCTACAACAACAACAACAACCGCCAGTGCAGAAAGGAGATCGACAATCTCCGATATTCGTTCATACCATTAGATCGCGGCGCAAAAGAAATTGTGACGGTCAAATTTCTTCAGTATTTTTTTTCATAAGAAAATGTCAAGTGAGTTAAGCTGAACTGGTAATTACAGCTAAGTGATCTGAATTCTGCAGAATTCTGGGAAACTTTAATATACCATCCCACGATTTCAGGATTAAAAGGGGTATGGTTGGATAGAGGAGATTCTCCAGTTCAAGAATATATAAAATTATATCCACCAAGATATTTGCATTTTAAGTTGAAAATTTGACAAATTTTATATTGCAAGATCTCGATTTATAGTTAAATTTTCTTTTATATAATGCACTAATTATACACTAACCCTTCACTAAATTTTTTCTACATAGTTATTTTGGTAAATGTATAGTTTCGGTCTCCCAACTAAGGAGTCCTCAAAATTGTTTTTTTTTTGTAAATCGTCTTATTTTTACGTGAAGATTACAGTTATTTACAATTATATTTAACGCACTTTGATCATATGTATCTTTCAAGTTACTTTGTTGTTGTTGTTGTCGGAGCGGCAAAAATCTACAGAATTCAGATCACTTACCTTAAATTCAGGGGTCGGCTTTAGTATACCATCAAAGGATTTTAGGGTTAAAATGGAACATATTTGTTATTGTGCTTATAACGAAATTTGTGTAAAAAACCCCCAACTAAAGATCTGTAATCTACGCGTAAAAATAAGACGATTTAAAAAAAATTTGAATTTTTGAAGACTCCTTAGTTGGGAGACCTAAACTATACCTTAAATTTTTTTAAACGTCAGTTTGTTTAACGATACTAAATATTTCTTCACCTTACCTTCCTCAGTTTTTGGTAATTCAACTACTCTTGGATGAGCGTGTCCTTCACTTGCAGCAAATGCTGCAACAGTGGCTTTAGCTGTGGCCGAAGCTCTAACATCCTGCGAGCCCTGAATATCAACGGTTTCGTACACGTGTTCATAAACTTCCCTAACAGCATTCAAAAACTCGCTTTGAAGAACTTTCTGAAGAGCAGAAAGCTTAGTTGTTGGAAAATCTCCACTAGATTGTAATTTATCCAGTAGTTCAATGGCTCTCTTTATATCTAAAAAATTAAATAATAGCAAGTACTTTGCAATGTTATCTACAATATTATTCACCCTTGGACAAAGTTAGAGGCTCGACTTGTGCTGACATCTTTATTTTTTTTTTGGAATCAATAAATTTCTGATCTTAATACTTCACCTATGATATTAAATTATAGCACTGTTATCGTCATAGATAAAGTTATCGTAAAGCATATACAGACATGAAAAACTCTAATCGAGAGTCGATTTATACCATAAAAGAATCGAGTTTTCGAAGTCGAATTTACCCTTCGAAATTGATAAAAAATCGTTTCTTGACATTCGATTTTGGAGTACTTTTTATGTGAACGTACTCATACATCGAACTTTTCCGTCGAAAAAAATGTCTGACGCAAAGCGAAACAAAAGAAAAAATGTCAATTGGCAATTGCTTGCATATTCAATTTTTAAGGCGTTCAGACGAAGACTCTTTTGTCACTCATTATCGCAAATTCTCTTTTGGTGTCGCATAGTGCGTTCACACGAGTTTTCTTGATTACTCAATAATTTGTAAGAAAGTCGTCTTATAATGGCAACCAAGTTTGTATAATGTACATACATTAATGCTTTCTTTTAAATCCATTAAGATGAAAAATTTAAATTTTTCCCATCGAAAATTTACATTGCAGTCAGTGATATGTTAACATGATATTTCGCGTCTTATTCGACCCCCATACTAGTAGGTCCTATTTTCTTGGGGTCGGGGGTAATCTTCGGAAAGCAGAGTGTCTATTCGTGCACGGCATATGCCAATATCCCCAATAATTGCAGTTTTCATCCAGTCTATTTATATTTAGAAATGAGAGGTTTAATTCATAAATGCTTGCCGTCTAAATTTCCAAGTGTATGCGGTAACAATAATATTCTTCTTTTTAACTAACAATTGTAAGAATAACAATTACAATAATATTTTTCTTTTTAACTAAAATTTTGCAGCTCTTTATAGAATTTCTGGAGGAAGATATGGACTTTACGAGACCATCAACACCGCTGAGTAGCCCTCTGGAAGCTGTGACATCATTTGACGTTTATTAATGTATATTGCAATCAATAAACAGTGAATTTTCTCCTAATTTTCAATTCTCTTTTTATGTTAATATTAATAACACTATAAAATTAAATAATGATTCTAGACACTGAAAAATACTGGAAATATGAATTTATACTTTATATTTTCTATTTCCAAATAACATCTTCAAACTGAAGAGACTTCAAAATGCAAAACATAACATGAAACCTCTTAATGTGTCGAAGTGTTTAAAACTTGTAATAATTTTTAATTATATTTGTCTTATTTCTATTTTTATATTTACCGTAAGTCCAATATACACACAAAAATGTTAAATCTTATATTAATTAATTTAAATGCAAGCGATTTAGAAACTCCGTCATTTACATTATGTTTCATAATTTGGCTTGCGCCTAGGCATAATCATATCGTACTCTTAATCTACTTTTAATTTCATAGTTTATTTATTTTTAGGGTAGGCTAGTCGCTTGCGTCGCACCAATCAATGATGATTGGGATGAAACATCTGTTGTTAATTGTAGTACATTTGAGTCTCTTATAGAATTTCGCCCTTCCTGAAAGCTATTGAGATCAAAATGTTCATCATCAGAAACGTCTGTACTTGAAATGTCACCAATGGTACGTAGTGCTTGTTGAGTCTGGAAAAAAACAAAGAAATATTTAAGGATGATCAGGATAGTTAATGAAGCCAGAAAGGCTTTCTTTGCTATTAGTTTTGTATTTTCAGATTATATGTAGCTTTTTACAGTTTTACAACATCCTAAAGGCTTGACCATGCTGTTTTTAGCGTTTGAAACTTGTCAGTTTCTTTTCTTTCAATTGAGATTTTTTGTTTATCAAAAAATGTTAGGGTGTGTTCCTTGTGAAATTACTGCAAAATTGATACCTTTGATTAGAATGCATGACGTTTTACGCGAGTCACAAGATTGGCCGATCGTCGGCACTACAAATTGTCAAAGTTAAAAAAAATTAAACAAACAAATAAAATAAGTAAAATATTAAAGCAATATCAAATAAATAAGTGAAAATGGCAAAAAAAAAGCAGCTGTTTTATGGATTTTAAATGAATTTTGTAATAAATATTAATTTTATGTTCGATATAATTTATTATTTGTTTTTAGCGTAAAATTAAGAGTTGACGAAACCAAGTTATTGATTATTATATACGTTAAAATTTCCATATTACTAAGCAACAGGTTTTGTGAGAAGTAATTACTGCAATATTGCTGTTGAGTATTAGCATCAGCAACAGAGTATCAAATTAGTAATAGAGTTGCAGTTCGACTCAGCTGCTCGAACACACCCTTATCCTCATTTACGGCAACTTATTTAAATTTAATGCACATTTATTCATTATCAGAATCTGTAATAAAATAGACAATTATATAGCTATGACTATTATTGCCTCTGCGAATGGCAGACACCTTGTTGTGTGGTGTATCCAGGGTGTTATGCGACTCCCATGCGCATTAGATGCAGTTAATTCGGCTGTATTCTAACGGAGCCTACCCAACACCGGGCCGCATTGGGAAGTAACGGTTGTTTTACAGCGTCATGGGGCTCTGGCGCGGCGGAACATAGCGTTCCCCTGACATCTTACCGCGTTAAGCCAAGGATCATAAGACAAAGATGACAATCACAAACAAAACCAGAACAACAACAACTACAACAAGACAACAACCACGGCAATCGTCAATCGAAAAACTCGCGTAAGACTCAGAAGCAACAGTGCCTCGCTGCATCTAAGGGGGGTAAAACAACCGCAAACGGAGTAGCGGGACTCGGAACAGATTAACACAACCCCGCCATTTAGGCAGGGTAGCGAAAAGACAGCACCTTCGATCATCCAGACCGCAAAGCGTTAGAGCAAATAACGCCACAGAAGTCACTAACTTCCAAAAGGCAAAAGGACAAATATGCACAGGTGGAAGAAGGCCAACACTCCGCCCCGAATCCCCTTCAAGTGGTGGAGGGACAGTGCAGATACGTTGATGCTTTAAAAAGCATACGGATGGCTATGCTGCCTCTCAACTACCCGGTGGAGACGCTGGGGTCGAAAGAGTTTACCGCCCTTCCAGAACTCCTCATGGAAGAAGTGTATACGGAATGGGAGTACCCAGTATCCTTCCTTGGGGTGTACTTCAAAGGAAGTATGCTACAGGTAGACTACAAGAACGAGAAATCCACGGTCTGGCTAATGGAGCTCGGTCCCAAGCTGGTTTCCTATAAGGGTCCTGTCCATGCACAACATTACATTGTTCCTCCCCAGATGTGCAAACAAGCCATACGAGTTTTCTCTCGGGCTCGTCAGAAATAAGAACGGGGGCATTAATTAATTTCATTACAAGTTCAGGTTTCCGAATGATTTTTAGGTTCAGTTCATTAGTCATGAGGGCCTAAAGCCCAAGATGCGGAACTACCGAAAAAATTCTGGTTGATGAGAACACCACTCATTCTAGCGTCAGCCATGGTGGGAGTCCCGAGGGAGGAGTCGGGCGAACAAGAGGGGGTGATAGCCTCCACGCAGGAGCTTCTGGAGGTGCTTAAGTAACAGGGGCATAATGTAAGAATAAGTATCTTTCGGGATACGCTAGGTTTGAATATCATCGGGGCGGGACAACCAGACAGAAGTGCTATGGCTTCAGTACTGAAAAGCAGATTGTCTGCACTTAACCAGTCCATTTTATCACTGCCCCATAAAAACCGATCACCAACAAGCGCAACTGTCCTTGGTGGTCAAGCAAACTCTCAGACCTTAGGAAAAGCGTACGAAAGCTCTTCAACAAGGTCAAAAGTAGGGGAACTGGGAGGAATATAAATGCAACATAACTACATATAACAAAGAAAGTAAGTTTGCAAAACAGCAAAGTTTCAGGAACTTCTGTGAAAACGTCTCCTAAACACAGGGCTCTAGCCAGAGGCAAGACAGACACAGTCTTAGCGATTTAAAGATGTGAAGGGGTATATACGACAAGCGCAGAAGTGCCCTGAGTAATTCTTCTGCTGCATTTACGCGAAAAGGCTCCATCCAAACTACACCACGGTTAGATGCTACACATGCCATGGATGGAGCCATCTCAAGACCTGCTCAGGCCTTAGGACCCATAGGGAGTGGACCACGATTTGCCAACGCACAACGGCGGCACCAGCCTCAACGGCTGTGCAATCTGCACCATGACCGCACACTGCGCCGCCACTCCAGTCGAGTGGCCAAGAAAGAACCTCCACCAAGGAAGAGCTCACATAGGCATCATGACTCCGAGTCTTCCCTCTGGTGGCTGGAGGAGTTCCCAAAAATAAAAATAAACAGTAGCGGGAAGAGGACATCGCCCTGCGGAAACCCCTGTTTAATTCTTCTAAGTTTGGAGTTACATTATGTATGACCGCCGACCGCTCAGGTAATTCATAGTCCACCGCTTCAGCCCTGGAGCCAGCGTGGATTGTTCTATGTTCTCAAGTAGCGTTGTGTGACTGTGTCAAAAGCTTTCGACAAGTCCAACGCTACGAGGATCGTCCTCTCGCAGATCTACCCTGGCTTAGGCCATGACCTATCTGGGAGTTTATGACGCTAAGCGCTGTGGTGATGCTGTGCACTTTTCGGAAGCCATGCTGATGGTCTACTAGACTCAGGTGGTGAGTAAATGTTGGGAGTAGCAATGGATTTGGACGATTTGGCCTTGTTGATGGCACTCTGAACCTCCCCATCGGTGTAAGTAAGTGGTGCGCGGTTTTTTTGCATTTTGCGCAGCCGTCGGGTAACACATCATTTGGTCTTGTCAGCCGAATGGTGCAGTGTAAATTGCCGGCTATAATAGCTGGTGAATTTTTTCGGGTTTGAGGAGGCATTGCCATCGAATTGAATTTCAATTTGGTCCTCATGTCTCCTCGAATTAGATAAGGCTTTGACAGTAGTTCAAAGCTTAATCACACCGGTGGAGAGGTTGCAGGACTTCAAATGCTCAACCCGTTTCGTCCGCTTATGGTGGTCTACCATTTGCGGAATTTTAAATTGGCCAATCCAATACCATGGTTTATCAAGAGAAAGGAACGAACAATGGTGGAATATGGTTCATGTAGTGAATTTTAAATTAGTTTGCAAAATATAAATATATATATATATAATAGATTTGGCAACACTTATTATCTGTCAACATGGAACCCATTTGTTACTGTGCATATAACGAAAATTGTGTAAAAATATTATGCTTATTTAAAGCAAATATTAAAATAATTAATATAAAATAAATATGTAGAAACATTGTAGTGAAAGATTTTTGTGAGATAACATTAATGAAATTTTCAACTTAAAATGCAAATATCTCGAAAACTATAAGTTTCCGCCGGCTATTCTTTATCTGGAGAATCTCCTCTATCCAACCATACCCCTTTTAACCCAGGAATCGTGGGATGCTACACTAAAGCCGACCCTAGTTTGTAATTATTGACCGAGTGTATTGTAACTTCGAATACAAATCTCTTGCAGAGAATTTCTTAAATCTAGAGCATTAAAGCTGGCTAATAATTTTTATAAACAAACTGTACCTTTTTGATTTTAGGAAAGCTGCCTTGTTTTATTCGCGTTAATCGCATCAGCAAGTCATAATGTTGTTCCACTCTTCTTAAACATGTCTCACATATAGTTTTAGGTAAAGGATCCGTCGGAGATATCTAAGAAAATATTTTATTTAACAATTTAACCCGAATTTTATTAACAAACTTACGGTGATGGGTAGATATCCGTTAATCTTTTCTACTAAACATAACTTCCTGCCCTGATCACCATATATATGGATTACTATTCTATGCATTTCAGAGCAAAGACGACAAAGAAATCCAGATATACATGCTCGGTCAATGCTACCCATTATAAGGAATTGAATTAAGTTATTTTACCAGTTCTATTCATTAACTTCCGTTTTTCCTGGTTGAACTTATTTTAGACCCGAAATCTAAATTCAATAAATATTTACTTTAACAGATTTATTAACACTTTTCAATATGTACACTGAGGTAGTGATGAGACATCACTATTATTGCCGTAATACATGGAATTACCTGTAGGCAAGAATTGTGTTCATGCCTGTTTGAATAGTGATTTCAATGAAAAAATTTTCAATGCAGTACGATATATCTCGTAATATAAATAACTATTTTTTTACCTTCATTAAATTATCAAACCGATTTTATCAAATAGAAGAAAAAGGCAGGAATTTTATGTTTCATACCTTTAGTATTGGTAAAGCTCACAATTATAGGGGACTGTTACACGTTCAATATAAATTTATAGAACGCGATCCAGGATAGCGATATTTATTGAACGTCTAGAATAAATATTGATGAATACATTATATAATATAACATCGCAATACCGAGTCATATCACAAAATACATAAATATTTGAAATCCGTAATTTGATCGTGGATCTCGCGTTCATTATTGATTGTGCGTTCCGCGATATATTGTATATGTAAATTTACGATACGACAGAACATGGTATTGAAGGTATATAAAAAACGTGCAAATTATCTTAAAATTGTATTATATATATATATTTATATAAAAGTTTTAGTATATTAAAAAACTCGTTAAATCTTTACAACGTTTGCTAGAATTTTTTTGATACAACGATATTTTGAATAACTTTCTTCATAACCATAAAAACTTTCCTTCTGTTTGATTTTGCCTATTTATAAAAAAAATTGACAAAAAGTTAAACAAATAATAAAACAAAACTATTTTTTAACATATTTATATCAAAAACTCCATATATTTCAAATAAATACTGCCAAGATAATGAATAACGTGTATCACTCACTCGCAATGCATCAATCGTCATATGGTTCAAGATCCAAATATCACAATAAATATTGAACGTGTGACAGGCGCCATTGTGAGGGTATGTGAATAAGGCTGTATTTCATTATCATTCTTGGTGTCTACGCGTGCTAAAAAATATAACTGGACAAAAATATATATATAAAATCAGGCACACATCATGAATATTAATCACATCAAACATATAACATTAACGATACAAGTCAAATCATATAGTCTTTAAATATTTTTGATAACATTTAAAACATATAATGATATTTTAATACATTAAAAAATATTTTGAACAAAACTATGTAAATTTAATCTCTTAGAATTTTAATAATCGATAATTTTTTTAATAAGTAATAAAAATATTCTTAAAGTTATAGAGCACAATCGCAGACTTCGGGCATTTGAACGTTTTGGTAGTAGAATAGTAGTAGACGATCCATACCAAATGCGGTATTAGTAGTAGAATATTATGGCGCAACGCGTACAGAAGTTGTAGTTTTGCTATTTAGTATTGGTTACTTGTAGGTTGATACAATGGTTGTTTGGCAACAGCAATTGCTAGTGGAGACGCCACGTAAAGTCATTTCGTTCTGATAAATCGATTTGTTATTCGTTCTACATCACTGTTTTGTTTATATCTTGAATTAAAATGGGACGTCGTAAGTCAAAAAGGAAGCCTCCACCAAAGAAAAAAAATATAGAACCTTTGGATCAGCAGTTTAATTGCCCATTTTGTAATCATGAAAAATCCTGCGAAGTAAAAATGTAAGTCAAACATCAGCGCATCGTCAATTATTTACGTTATTAAGCAGACTGTTACGTTTTTTGTTGTAATTCTTATCACTTAAATATAAACTTATATTACGTTTTAAAGTATCAGCCGGGTCCACGTAACCGGAACCGACCCGGATTTTCCCGGCAAAGGACAGTTAACTCAGTAGAATTCTGGCGGTACAACAATAACAACAGTAACGCAATATCTTCCAGCTTTTTTTTTTTTTTTTTTTTTTTTTTTTGTAAATACTGGTGTATCGACCATGGTTATTTTTTTTGAATTGCGACCAAAGGCCGCCAACGCAAACAAGAGTTCTATGCGAAAGAACTGAGCACATCCCTTTGTTGGACCGCTTAGTTTGATTTTTTTGAAGCGCGGCCGAAAGCCGCCAATGCAGAAAAGAGTTCTGCATGAAAAACTTTTAATGTCTTATTTATTTGCTGCCATTGGGATATTATCTGTTTTCTTCATTCCTTTTGGTTCCTTTGTAAAGTTTTGTGGATAAAGTATCACAGATTATATGTGAGAATGCAACTCTTATATTAATTATAAAGTAATAAAACAAATTTAACAAAAGTTTAATATTGAATTAGAGTTATTGTTGCTCCATTTAATATAAAATAAATGTGTATACGCGAATTAGTGAAGTGTTAGTGGATATAAAAGTTAAAAACTTGATACTAAAACTACTTGGTATTACGTAATCTTACAGCGTAAACGCCATGAAACAAGCCACACTTCTCAAGTAGAAATATTGCGAAACGTTTATTACAAAGAGTATATCCACCTATATACCATAGATGAGCATACCCAATTCCCACAACAGCCGGTTTTACGTGATCGGAATTGACCCGGTTTTTTCCGGCCAAGGGCTTTTATTTCGGCGAACTAACCCTGTTTGGATCGGTAAGTTTTTCGTTGTTGTTGTTGTTGTGGTAGCGGCAGAATTGGGCCGAGTTGACAGTCCTTGGCCGGAAAAATCCGGGTCCGTTCCGGTTACGTAGACCCGACTGTTATGGGAACAGTGGTTCCTGACTCGTGCTGGCATAGAGGCCCACCCACCAACCTTCATCCCATTCCAATCCTCGTTCGAGAACCACTCAGCAACTCCTGGTACCTCGCACAGTCAATGTTAGACCGTAATACGCCGGAACTCACATCAGTCAAGTGTAATTCTTGTACTGGCTGGTGTCACTTTCTGTCGTGTTCCGGCCTGCGCACCACACGGGAGTGGAGTGTGTCGTACTTTGCCCCATGCTGTAGGAGTCTGCCCCCGCAATCCCATCAAGTGGCGGTGCATATTACAGCTGCAACAACCACCACCTGCACGTACCTCCCTTACCCCCAGGATCACGACTGGACACCAGCGACAAACCCGAATCCTACAATTTAACTGCAACAGACTCCTGAGCAAGATCGAGGAACGCCGACCAGACTTCGGACGCGACGAACTAAAGACAAGAACTGACCGCCATTCACAGTGGAGCCACAACACCTTCATCGGCTCTCTCAGTGAATGGTGTACTAGCAGTCAAACCACCACCCATCGCAGACGTACTGCTCGAGTTGCCTCGTGAATGTTGAGTGACCCTTGCGAACTTCGTTTTGGATACTGTAGCAGGTTAAACTTCTACCTCAACGACCCCTAAATTTTTTTATGATTCCAAGGGTATTGTCCACAAAGAATTTGTTCCACCCGGCCAAAACGGTAATGCGGTATACTACCTTGGAGTTTTGAAGCGTTTGGTGCGCCGTATTCGACGTGTTCGGCCCGAATATCGCGAAGATGGAAGTTGGCGTTTGTTGCACATTTGCCGATGAAAGGAAAGCGTTATGCAAACGTGGAGGCCATTCAAAAGGCTTTCGCCGGCATACTGGCTGCCATACCGGGCAACGAGCTAAAACATTCGTTCGACATGCTTTTGGACCGTGCAAAAAGCTGAGACTATTTTGATTAATTGATTTTGCCGAAAAAACTATTTCTTCTGTCTTTTTTTAAAAGTCCTGTTTACTTTGGAACGCACCTTGTATTTCTTGTTATTGACATTTACATTTACATTTTTTCTTAAATATTGTATATTTTTATATGGCTACAATTGCGAATTTGAAGTAACAAACGTGCATGTCGGCGTATTCTAATATATTTATTATCACTGAATTGAATGATTCATTGGATACTATTTGTTGAATATTTAACTCCATATAGATTTTGTTTAAACCGTGATTAATAATTTTTCTTCTGGGTTTTGTTCTAAGTTGTATATACAACTTGGCAAAGTGTTGAATACGTTTTCAAAAAAAATTGTTTCTGAAAAATTGAAAATTTTTTTTTTTATACCTTTAGTATATATATTAGGCCGGCGTTATTTTTAAAATGAAATACTTTTTTAAGTTTACGAAAGTGTTTAAAGGTACTTTTTTCAGAAAATTCATAATTCCAAAATTTTTCAAATTTTGTCGAAATAAAAAATACGTGTCCAATATTTTGCCTCAAAGAACACAAAAAAAATTATGTTTTGCACTAAACAAATTTTTGAGTGGAAATTTTGGACGCGGGGTACGTATTGTACATCAAGCACCAATAATGAAGATAATAAAATAAAACTTGTCGAAATTGGACTATCGGATTATGAATGCTTTTCCCGCAAATATCAGTAAATCTGTGAGATATATGTATTAATGATATGAACTCATAGATTCTTCATTAGATTCCGTTCCTATATATTACACAGCTCTACAAAATAAAATTGAAATATAACATATGTTTTCGACACCTGTCTCTCTGTTTATTTTGATGCATCCTTATTTTTTGAAAGTCACATGCTTGATGTGTGCACTGAAAATTATCTGAACACAATACTTTGGAGATCTTAAGCGTTTTTCTTTGCACTAATGTACAGTAAAATGCTACTTTAACTTAGGCTTTTTATGTTTTTGTGAATATAAATACATTTTTTCTCCATTCAGCTACTTACGGTATATGCAGAGATCATCTAAATCTAACATTATATTTAAGAGCCAACTTCTCCCAATTGGTGACACCAGCATGGTACCCAGAAACGTTAAAATTTTGTGTTTGGAATGATTTAGTATGTCTACTTATTGTTCAACATAAAAATTGACAATTTCTGCTTAAATTTTCAATTTGCTAAACCGTACTGTAAATATCGTTATTTATGTTTTCACAATTGTATTGTATTAACGTAATTTAATTTTTTTTTCAGGGATAAAAGTAGAAATACTGCTAAAGTTACTTGCAGAGTTTGCCTTGAGGATTTCCAGACGAGTATCAATTTTCTGTCAGAGCCTATTGATGTGTATAATGATTGGGTAGATGCTTGTGAAACAGCGAACTAATTGCCAACTTATAATTGCGTAATCTTATAATAATATTATTATGAGCTATATAATAAGTTTTAGGAATTATATATAATTAAAAATTAAAAATAAAATTTTTAATTTTCTTTTATCTCTCATAAAGTTTATTCAAAACTTAATTTAATTAATGCTTGACTAAACAGAAAGTATATATAAGTCACGATATTAATATGCTTATGAATGCACCAGACAAGCTTTAAAGTTCGTATAGTTAAAAAAAAAAAACTTTACAATTCGTTTTCATTTTTTATTATCTTTGAACGAGAATTATCCTGGGGTCTGAGAACAGAGGAAATTTATGAGCGCCTAATTCGAGGAACATGATGGGTACGGAAATAATACGAAGCTTAATACTATCTTCAAGTTTTTCAGAAAATTATTAAAGAAAATGGAAAACGAGTAAAATTTTAATTATAAAATTATTTTGTACAAATATATTGAAAAAACAAATAAGCGAACTAGTAATATGGAGTTTAGACCAAGATCTAGAAAGATTTCAATCTTATTTAGCGTTAAATCACATTATGTTTAGGAAATCGCCCATTTAATGTCAATAACATATCAAAGGTGAAGTATTCAAACGATTTTATTCATTATCTGAATGGCTTTATTTCATGACGCCTTTTGCTCTCTCATCGAAACATCGGATTTGGTGAGTAGCTTAGCGGTATGTGTTAGCAACCACGCTGAAGCTTGGGATTTATTAACTGCGAGGAACAAGATCATGCGGGTCATGGTGGGCAGCCACATCAAAGCACTCATGTCAATTGGGAACGCAGTTAAGGAAACTGCCAAGGGAATAAATCAAGTGCTAAATATCATACTTCAACACGTTGGTGCTCTACGTGCAATGGAGCGACCAGTCGAATTCTGGGATAACTGGCTTATTTACCAAACCGTTTCAAAGTTAGTACACTAAACCCTCAAAATTTCTTGAAAACCGAACCCGGTGAGATTATATTGGTCGTTGGCAACCCGCTCGTGCACTCCATGACAACGGCTCGCATGCCTCATTCGTATTGAGGCGAGTGTCCAACGCCTTCATTCGTTTATGTCAGTGGGATTGGGTCATTACAAGGAGGTCTTGCAAAGGGAGTAGTAACACATCGATGGCTTGATGCTAAATTTCGAGTAAGTATGCTCGTTACTAACGATGCCTTCATGGGCGTATGGACGTATGGGGACACTGTTTTGGAATAGGTACTATGTTGCAACGCTGCCAGTTTACAAAGCCCGCGGGTTAATTTTTAAACTTTACATTCCAATTTTCATTTAACTCATCCACAAGTTTTGGAACTCGAAGAGTTATCGGGAAGTCCAGCATTACTTCGCATGGAAAAAAGATTTGCAGCTAACGCACGACTTCGCAGAAAGTATACCATGTTTATGGAGGAACTCTTCTCTATGGGACACATGGAACCAGCTGAGACAAGAGATAAAGTTTACTACATGCCACACCATGCTGTGGTAAAGACCCCTAGTCAAACCACGAAACCACGAATCTTTTTCAACGCATCAACATCTGGAAATTCATTAAATGACGCTCTCATAGTAGGCCCACAGCTATAGCAAGATCTATTTTGTATCGGTTTCGCCCTCATCGTTTTGGAATCATAGCCGACATCGAAAAATGTACCGCAAGATTTATTCGCCAAAGAGCACACCGATTACAAAATCACTTCTCCACAAATCGATACGACCAAATTAATTGACATGTTCCCACAATCTGATATTGAACGTGGATACAACGCATCTCCGAGATTTGTTAGAATCGTTAGATGCACATCATAGGTTTGCCAGGAGTTTAGTTTCTCTAGGATCTATACCCATGTTTCCACCACTCGATGCCGGTAATTTGGAGAACATAAAATTTACAGAAATGCTGTTGATAAATTCAAACAACAGACCAATAGAGATTAATACAAGAGTTCAAAATCAGATTAATCAACTAACATTTACCGCCAATTGAATTCTCAAAGCAGCTAAAGATTCGCAAGTCGATAACGGACATTTATATGAGACATTGCTGGTAAGAAATAGAATGTTATTGATGAAATTTAAATTTAAGAAGTCTGGAAAATGTGACCTTTTTGCAAAGGCCAGGTCGATCTACTGAGACAATGAACTAGCATTGTACAAGCTATCAATTTACTCAACGGCGAAATCAGTGTACCACAGTATTGGACAAAGCTTAAGCGTTGGCGAACATAACATAACGCACTAACAATGTCTACTTCGCGCTAAGCAAACACCTAAAGCGTTGCACCTTCGTTAGATCGGTGAAAAGCTCATTCTATCGCACACTGCTTGCTTCGGTGCTAACATAAGCTAGCGAAACCTAGAAGTTATGCAAAGCTGAAGAAAACATGCTACAAGTCATTGAACGAAAGGTGTTGCGCAGAATTTTTGGAGCTGTTTCCGATGATGGTTTATGGAGGAAGCGGTATAACCACGAGCTACAGATTCTGTATAAGCACCCCCCAATTTTGTAACAACAATTAAATTAACCAAGCTACGGTGAGTTGATCATATTATTCACCCCGACGAAAACTACATCTCCTTCCAAAGAATTTCTGCTGGGCAGATGCAAAAATAACGGAAGCAGCGGCAGAGTAAAACTTAGATGGATTGGTGGTGTGTATTTTGGTTGGTACACGCCGGGTTCTCTGCTGTGTTCTACGACTGGTACATCCGTAAGCAATCTTTAGGCCAATCAGTCTTACTTCCTTCCTACTCAAAAGTATGGAAAAGATCATAGACCACGAATTACGATCGAAGGTGCTGAAAGCTTCACCGATCCATGAGAAGCAACATGCTTACAGAGCAGGTAGGTCAACTAACACTGCTCTGTACCAGCTAGAGTAGTTGAGATGTCCAGCACAGTCAAGTATCTGGGACTCACGCTGGATTCCACACTGCGATGGAATCAGCACGTGGACCAGACCCTAACCAAAGCTACAAAAGCACTCATGGTGTGCAACCGACTTGCTGGAAAATCCTGGGGGTGCTCCCCAAGGACTATCAGGTGGATGTACACCATGATTGTGAGACCGATTATCACGTATGGAGCGGTATCGTGGGGTTCGAAAGCATCGCAGACTTCGGTAGGACTTAAACTGTCGAAGCTGCCCGCATCTGCGCGTCGGGAGCAATGCGAACGTGTCCGACCGCAGCACTGGAGGTCATGCTATAACTTTCACCGCTACACCTGGTAATCAAACAGACTGCCAAACGAACTCTGCTCCAAATGACAGCAGAGGGAGCTGGCAAAGGGAAGGTAATCTCATCCCAGCAGATGAAAGAGCTAAGTGAGGAAATACCACTAGCCCTTCTCCCAAGGGATAGCATCAGCAGGAAGTTCCAAGTAACCCTTGGCAGCAAATCTGAGTGGAAGGACTCTTCACTGGACCTGCTGCTAAGGGGTTGCACCATCAAGTGGTACACCGACGGGTCGAAAACGGAAGAGGGGATTGGTGCAGGGGTCGCTGGGCCAAGCACCAAACTCTCCATTCCCATGGGAAGTTTCCCTAGCATTTTCCAAGCCGATGTCTATGCTATAAGTCGGTGTGTAGGAATAAATCTCCAACGCAACTATCGCAATAAAAGTATCGCCATACTCAGCGATAGTCAGTCGGCACTAAGAGCGATCTCTGCCTATGAGGTCAGATCTCTCCTAGTGATGGAGTGTATAGAACGGCTGAACAGCCTATCTGAGCACAACCGAGTGCACCTTATTTGGGTGCCTGGCCATAGGGATATAGCTGGGAACGAACTAGCCGACGAGTTAGCTCGCTCTGCAGCCTCTACAAGAATGGTAGGGCCGGAACCATACTTAGCGGTTGGTCCACATACCATCAAATAGCTCCTCCGCAGGGAGGAAAGAGCAGACAGGGAGATACAATGGCAACAACTCCAGGGCATGCACCATGCCAGACTGCTAATGGGGGGTTACGACCTCAAGCGGTTCAATGCCATAATTAATCTCCCAAGGAACAAATTCCGGCTACTGGTAGCGTTCTACACCGGCTACTGCAGGCTCAAGAAGCATCTCTTTAACATGGGCATAGCCTCTTCTGGAAACTGCCGGTTCTGCGACATAGAGCCGGAAACCCCCGAACATCTGCTGATGAACTGCACAGCAGTCTGCAGACGCAGAATAAAGGCCCTGGGATCCATGTTTCCACACACGATTGTATCGCCTCACTAGCACCCAGCAGAATTTTGGAATTTATCAATATACTGGGCCTAGATGACACGATATGACTTAGGGGAGGACACAATAGACCGTAGGTCGCGGTGCATACCTCAAAATTAATCAATCAATCAATCAATCATTCTTTATTGTCTTCTGACTGGAGACGAGGAGGGTGTCTTCGTCGGTCTTCTTTAAGGGTCCTGAAGTCCAATACGCCATTGTCTTGACCGTTGTCCTTGTCAGAGCGTTGGTCGTCGATGTATTGGTGATTGTTGCTTTTTTCTGTTTTCTGTGTTCATTTTTTGTCCCACGAGTAGTCCGGAAGGGGTTGGTCACTCGTCCGCAGAGACGGCATTTAAGGCGGGGGACCGTTCACGATCAGTTAAACATTCAGTCATCAGCACGTGTACCTCGAGACCGTAGCTTAGGGCCATGTTGGTGCGGGTAAAACCAAAGGTTTGTTCGTCCATATACCCATTGTGGGAATTATGTGGTATCCCTCTTAGTTCGTAAAAGGAAAGTGCATTTGGATTCCGCCTATTACTTTTACTTAGGCCTCTTAAGGCATGGTAAGGCAACCAACGCTGAAGGAGTATTTATTTTAGGTTTGTTTAATGTTTTTTGTATATAAATTACGTCTAACCTTTGACTGTGAACTAGTCCTAGTCTCTTACTTCTTGCTACTCCCCATTAATCAGCACCTTAAATTTGCAAATATTCCACTTGTAACTCGAAATTTGTATAGATGTTCTATAGTGGATCGTGCTGTTCTATTGAGAAAAATAGCATATCCAATCGTTGGTCAATGAAAATGATTCTGCCACATTTCTACAAAAAAATATATACATTGAGATCTGCTAATCAAACAAGTTTAATATTACTTTTACTATCATCAATTTGTTAGCTTGCTTTTTGCTATATTAAACTAATTCTTGCATTTCTATTCTACCTCTTTATCTAGTAGTTTATTCGTAATTTTGTGTTTGCAGCAGTAAATAGTTTATTTCTGTTTGCATATCTGTATTCACATCTATAAGTCGTCAAAATTTTACCTAGCTCTTGAGCTGAGTAAAATTCTGACATTCGGACTCACCACGAAAAAAATTTTTATTTTCTTACCACTTGGCACGATATCAAAACATCATTCGCATGTCCAGAGGAAGCGTTGGAGAAAAGCTAATCGATCAAAATATACCTGATGTCCAAACGTTTTACAAACCCATTTGTTTTGCTTTCTGAAAACATTTATAATTAATATCTTTACATATTAATTTGTGATAAAAGTTTGTCGTTTGAGCTATACAATAGTATCACTCGTTTGAAATATGCGGAACAAAACTTGGAGGCATTGAAGATAGCAGTTAAACCACTTGAATGAGGTAGGCCCACAATCTCTTGTCCGAATTTGACTTGATAACTATGTTCTCGGATATCAATATTTTTATAGGACAGAAACGCAAGAAAACAGCGAGTAGAGAAATCACGAATCGAAGATAGCTTATATAATATATCTTCAAAGCAGTGCATTTTTTCGACTTCCAGTAATATTATTACAAGCAAAAGAAAATACAGTATTCTATATATATTGCATTGATGAATATATTTAACAACTTATATAGCGAAATATAATTTTAATTCTTACAATACACTTGAAACAGCAAAATACAAATTTTACACCATAGCAACTAATACAGCCTTTAAAGTTTTAATATCTTAAGGGCCGTTTTTTCAATACCTGGTTAATATTATCGTTAGTCGCTGGTAGCTTCACTGGAATGATAGCTTTAATTGACAAAACCGTTTTCACAAACGGGTTTTCGTAAACGAAGGGTCGATGAGGAAAATTTAAATGTTATTACAAATTTTTTTGTTTGTTATATGTAAGTTCATATATGCATAATATTATGCTATTAAGCGACAAAAGAGTGCCTGTCTGAACGCTGTCTATGCAGCTGATCTTATAGATTTTTATAGGTGACAGCTCTTATTTCATGTTTTGATTTGAAACCGAACAATAGTTCTGCTTTCGAGAAAGTTTACCAGAACTTTACAGACAGATGGTTGCTAACTAGATATTGATAAAACCATTTTTTAACATATTGCCGATAAAGTTCTAGTTAAGCACTTAACCGATTATTTTCCTAGCCGTAATACAATTAGAATCATTGAAATTAAAAGTTTCCGTAAGAAGGCTTTTACACACAGACTCTTTTGACCCTCGTTTTCGTCAAATTCTCTTTTGGTGTCGCTCTGCGCATTCACACGAGCAAAAAGAGTCCAGCAATTTGAGTCCAGTTTTTCTGCATTCCTTTTCACAAAATTTTCGTAAATATTTGTGCGGTTCGACTGCGCAACACTTAGATCATGTTGCATATTTCATTTGTATGTTGGGATGATGGTCTCACATTTTACTTGCAATGAATTACCATGAATATGGTAGAACAATATGCATAATACCTACCTGCTTAATAGTTTCAAAGAAATACTTAAGACGGGAATTCCCTAATCCACCAGAATGTGTTGAATACCCGCTACTAATATTTTCAAGGCCAAATTTATAACTGGAATTTCCCAATCTTCAAGTATTAAAATCCCATAATTTTATTCGAACTAAATTCTTTCCAGTTATGCGGTATGTTATTAAAAATTAAAATTGAATGTTGAGTATCTTAATTTTCTCCTTATTTACAATTTTTCAAAATATTCCTAAGATTATATGCATACATATTTGCATATCACATACAAAAAGTAAATAACAGAATTTAAGTGTCTGACCGAATGGTATAGATTCATTTGAAACCGAGCGCTTGCAACCTTTCAAAGAATTTGAAAGTGAAAAGGAATGCTGAAAGGGTAGCAGCGAGCTGTTACGAACAAGCTCCCTTCGTCTTTCCTCGTCGTCCCCTCAACCATAATAAACCGGTTTGGGTTACAAAAGAATCTGTGTGTAAAAGCCGTCTAACTGAACTTACTCTTACATTGATATTGTCTTGCGGTCGGTCGATGAAAAGGAATTCATCGAAATTTGTTCAAAACTTATCGACTTTTTGAGTGCTATGATTTGATCATACATTTCCTGGTATAAGACGTTAAAAAGTTGGTTGAAGTGTTTAATGAAGTGCTGAATTAAACAAGGAAACGGTTGAATAAACAATGTCTACCATACAATTTGTGATACAACCCTTACCCGGATCAGATGAGCAGTACATTGAAAGGTATTATCAAAATTATCGAGAAACTGGTATTGTTTAAACTTGGGGCTGAGCTTAAATATGTCATGTACTTTAGAAGATTTACACCAAGCAGCGAATTACTGCGGCAGGAAACGTTCTCCAAACACAAACTTGGGAGTCTGCCTGGTTTGCTGTCGTTGGCAAGAAAAAAATGTTTTTATTTTGGTTATATAGACGAAATTTTCGTAGTAACGTATTATTTGGGAGTTTTTTTTTATTTACTTATCTTCAAATGACTGCTTTCTTATTTTTAAACAAAGAGCTAGGGGGTGCGATTTTTAATAACATCCCTTGAATTTGAGGTTAAAATGGGTATATACGGAAACAGGAGGCGCTCCAGATTCAGAAACTATAAGCATTTAGTTGGCGCTGACTTATGGTTTTTGAGATATTCAAGTTCAAAAATTCAACTTTATAAAGGAGTCGGCTTTGGTATACCATCCCCTATGATTGGATAGAGTAGATTCTCCAGATAAAGAATATATATATTTATAACCGCTGGCAACGTATAGCTTTCGAGATATAAGCATTTTAAGTTGAAAATTTATTCGAAGGCTGCTAGTGTAATTATTCCGCTGGTTCACGATTTCCAAAATGTAATTAGTGCTAACAATTGGATTGAATGCTGATTTTCGTTACTCTCTTTCCACAACTTCAACGTCGATATCACCGCATCTGTCATTTGAGCATTTGTCTGAATTTTCGTATAGAACTCTTGGTCCGATGTGCCATATTGAAATGACGGTACATCCACTAGAGGTACATCCGCCGGGTTACAATGTTTTGTTGCAAGTCTCCAATGGGCGCCTTTGGTTAAATCTTGAATTTCCGAAATTCAATTACCAACAAAAGTCGAAAGTGTTGCAGAATGCATTTTAAGCCAATGTAATACTATTTCTGAGTTTAAGCCAATGTAATACTATTTGTGAGTCTGTCCCATGAAAAATATTAAAAGATGTAATAATTTCGCACCGATTTCCATAAGTCGATGAGTCACAGAATCAAAGTGAGTGAAGAGAATCCGTAGCTGTCGATCAGTTAAGAAGGTTTTTCCAAGCATATGCATATTAATGTTCTGTGGCACTGATTCATATCAATTCAACTGTAGTAGCAAAATTGATTCAACAAGATTTTTGATGTTATAACGACAGGAAACAGGATGGAACGTTTTGTACGACGACCATTAAGTCCAAGTTTTGCTTTAAACGAAAAAATAAAACAATCAATATTTTGGTTCCATTTTAGTGTACTGGTGATGGATAAATCTGTTAAATGTTTAGATCCTTTACAGAGTCGTCTTCTTTGAATTGATAATTAGAATGCCACTGGATTTTTAATATTCCTAATTCTAACAGTTGTTTTATCTCTTGATTGGTCTGTGAAAGTGCGGTTGGAGTGTCATTGTCAGTCGAATGGTGCAGTGTAAACTGCCAGCTAAAATAGCTTCCGCACTTCTTCGGGTCCGAGGAGGCATGGCCATCGAATTGAATTTCAACCCGATCGTCATGTCTCCTCGGATTTGACAGGGCCTTGACAGTAGTCCAAAGCTTACTCACACCGGTGGAGAGTTTGCAGGACTTCAGGTGCTCTATTCATTTTGTCCGCTTATGATGGTTTACCATTTGCCGCATCTCCAAATTGAGATTCCTTATTCGGGGATCACAGGGATTGGCATGGCGTAAGGGGTCGCGCTCGTTTGCTAGTACAGCTGCTTCGACTGGGAAATTAGGGCGGAGTTCCGCGATTCTTCCAGCCGGTATGAAGCGAGCAGTAGCAGCCTTGACTGGGAGTTATGCTGTCTGTGTGAGCTCCTTAGGGCCGTAGAGGTCCTTTCTTGACCAGTCGACTGGAGTGGTGCACCTAACCGAGATGGAGTTTGGATGGAGCCTTTTAGCGCAAACGCAGCAGTAGAATTCCTCGGGACCCGGGTTGGACTCTATGCCAGCACGGGTCATGAGGATACGGAGCAACCCTGCTGCTATGCGTTGCTCCAATGATGACAAACTTAACCTAGAACTTACCGATCCAAACAGGGTTAGATCGTCGAAATAACAGCCCTTGGCCGGATAAAATCCGGGTCAATTCCGGTATCGCAGAACCGGCTGTTGTGGGAATTGCTGTTTTTGCAGTCGATGTTGATGGTTGTCCCATGATTTTTTCCGTTTAGGATTCTTAAAATAAATCCGTTTTTCATCGCCAGTGACAGTTCGATGCAAAACTTATTTTTTTTTCATCTGCGATTTTTTGCATTAATTTGGATAATATCCAAACCTAAAAATTGCATTAAAAAGCAAGAAGAGGGACACTACTACAGCAATATTTAGTAGGTCCATTAGCATTTTTGAAGAAATTTTATCGTGTCCTGACAATTTTTCTCTTTTACGATGTTCTTAATTTTGTAATTTGAATTTTTGATATACAAGAGCGACTCGTTTGCAGTGTCAACGAAAAATTGCAACTTAAAATTGGTTTTTATGTAGTTAGGCTGAAATACGTTTGCTAGATAGCAAAACAAATTGCCTTTTCATTTCGAGGCTAACTACAACTCCCTTATAGGCATGTTAGAATCTACCGGCGGCTTGATATGTTTTTGCTATTTCCAACGAGAGTTCCATTTGTTTGTTGAATTTGGGCTCAGTTTTTTTTATATAATTTTTATACTTTTGCAACGTGTTGCTACAGAGTATAATAGTTTTGTTCACCTAACGGTTGTTTGTATCACCCAAAAATAATCAAGTTAGATACAAGCTTATACATATACATATATATAAATAATCATGATGACGAGTTGAAATCCGGGTGACTGTGTATCTGTCTGTACGTCCGGCCGTGCAAGCTGTAACTTGAGTAAAAATTAAGATAAAATGTTTAAAAAGTGGGCGTGGCCCCGCCCCCTAATGAGGTTAATTTTTTATTCCATATGATTCTTACACTTTCCAGTATACAAATTAAGCACCAAAGAATATATCGGGATTTTTGGTAGGATTTTCAAACTTCCGTTTGGCCTTATGTCATATATATCAGTCAATATGTAAGATACTTTAGCCGAACATGTCATTCAATGTGTGAGTTATACAATGTGCGTTCAAAAGTAAACAGTAAAAAAGTAACAAAATAAATAAGTATGTTTTTGTCATGGGTGCGAAAATGAGCTTCGAACAAAGAGCCAACATTAAATTTTGTTTTAAAATTGGTAAAACTTTTACCGAAGCGTTTCAATTGATGAAACAAGTTTATGGCGATGATTGCCTATCCCGTAGCAGAGTGAGAAACTGTGCTATATAAGAGATGGCGTTATTGTCCATAGTACTAGTGTTACGTGTCGCATCATGACATACTATACGGTATTTATTCGCGCTAAAAGTTTGTCTTTGACAGTTTTTCAATTGATTGACTCAGTACGTTGTGAGCGCTCGTCAAAGATGGACACCAGCAAAGAGAAAATTCGCTATATTTTACAATTTTTCTTCGATTAAGGCAAAAAAGCGGCTGAAAAAATTAATTTAGTTTATGGTCCCGATACTGTAAACGAACGTGTAACACAAAAGTGGTTTGCTAGGTTCCGTTCCGGTAATTTCGATGTCAAAGATGCACCACGCGTCGGGAGGCCTGTCGTCGAAAATTGCGATAAAATCATGAACATACTACACAAACACAGCGTATGCCTATATCCTAGGCAGTTAATGCATTGTACCGGACCACTTCTTTTATGGAGTTCTTCATCGGTAATTCTGCGGTAAAGGAAATATTTTAAATTGTATATCGGATGTGTTTAATTTTTCTCAAGCTGGTTATCATTTGGCATCAATTCAATTTTGAGCATTGGTTATTTATGGTACTTTATTTCTATGGAAAATATTTAATTTCACAACCACAATCTTTAAGAGCTTCTTTGATTTCCTTAGGATCTAGGTTTGCAAATAGTGCATTGAAAAAATAATTGAATTAATATTTCAATACATTTTTTTTATTTTGTAATTCTAAATACGGGATTAAAAAAAATGTTAATCCCACATACCGGATTGCAAAAAAAAATATTTAATCCCACATTCCGGATTAAAAAATAAAAAAAAATGTATCCCATTAATTAAAAATTTCGCAACTCTGTTAGGGTCTACCGAAGACTTCAGTTGACAGGAGTATTAATTTGTATTATATATTTTTTCTATGAATATATTTTGTTTACCATCTGTTTTAAAAATAATAAGCAAATTAGATAACCATATCATAATTTGACTCATATTATTGATATCCAGAGATCAACAATAATATACAACAATACAAAAAATCATATGTTTTTTTTTCGGGTGTTTATATAGAGTAATTTAATCATACATTTAATATCGTAGCAATATGGTAGGTAGGTAAAAATGCTGTCTAACGAAGCACTTAGGTCTATAGGAGGCCCATTGTGGTACCACCGGGACTAATGTTCCCTCACTCTATCGTCTCCCCTCTGAACCAACCTGTGCTCCTGATGAAGATCATCAGTACAAATAATTTTATATTAGCTACTTCTGATACGACGTCAAGGAACCCACGACCGATAGTTGCGATTCTTTTCCTGTATAGAGCTTTACATTCGCATAGAAGATGTTTTACAGTCTTCTCTTCTTCTACTTCCTGATAGCTTCTACAATAGTCGTTGTAAGATATACCTAGCCTGCTGGCATGTCTACCAATCTGAAAGTGACCTGTTAGTACTCCTATCAGAGTTATTATGTCATTCATTTTGAATTTTAATAGTCCGTTTGTGCGACTCACGCTCCATTCCTGCCACGTTTGTCTGCTGGTCGAGCAGGTTATTGATTGTCTCCAACGAGACTCAGCTAGATTTATAGCATGTTCATGTTTAAGTGTTTGCAAGTTGCCAGAGGCATAAAAATACCCTCTTTCAGGGGTTAATTGTAGAGTGGTACTTGTTCTGCCTAGTTCATCTGCTTCGCAGTTACCAGGGATAACACTATGCCCTGGAACCCATTGCAGGTTTATCGTGATGTTAGATCCTCTAATAGATCAAGCCATTCTTTCACTATTTTTGATGAGACCATAGCTCCTTTTTGGCTATACAAAAAGGTTTTATTTGATTGCTGTGATCTCCGTCTGGAAAGCACTGCAGTGGTCTGGTAAGCGGAAGGCAATTTTGGTGTCTAAAGTTGCGGAGAAGACACCACTTTCCACTCGATTATCTAGCAGGGATCCATCTGTGTAGATGCTAATTCCTGCATTTCTGTCCACCTCGTCCCTTTCCCACTCCTCTCTGGTAGGGAAGTCAATATTGTAGCCGAATTTTGGTTCAATTCTATTGAATTGTTGAAATCCGTAGTTTTGGGTAGAAACGGGAATAAACTAAGTATCCCAGAATGCCCCTTGTTGCAGGCGACTAATTGGGAGGGCTGACTTTGCTACCACTTTGCTTACAGAATAGGTCTGTTGCCAATAAATCGTAGCAATATACTTGTATGTAATTATTTGTTTATATTTAATTTTTAAATGGGTGGTTGGCCTGACCGAAAGATCGCGCCGCTAAGCTTCGAAAATTTCAGTATCGAAAACCGAAAAACGTCACAGGGAGCCAAATCTGGCGAATACGGTGGATGTTCGATGACTCTCGCTTCATGTTTAGAATGTGTCGTTGTGAAAAGTCCTTGAATTTTGTGTTGAGTCGATTCGTATGTGATATTGGGATCCGCTGCAATCTCCACGATGTTATCATCATTAACAGAGCTAGATGGACGACTCACATGAGGCAAGAGTTCGATTTCTTTACGACCATTCAAATACTTGTGCTCGTGATAAAGTAGATTTCCCATAACACTTCTGCTACATTTTCGACTATTCCGTAGTCATGATTTCATTGGAAACCCAAAGTTTCAAGAAAACTCAATTTTTAAAATTTTCTCGTTGTAAAAGTTGCGAGACAAACTTTTGATTTTTGGTACATTGATCGTGAAATTACTATATTCTGTTGTATTAAACGCCTCAGTTTTTCAAGTTGACTGTTCTGTGTACTATATAAAATAGGTTCTAAATACTTGGATTAATATCTTTTATAATTTGTGACAGGCTGCGTGAAGTATCTGATAAAGTTTGTCTCTAGTTTAATAACTATTGCTATGTGTGTTCTAAATACTTGGATTAATCTCTTTTATAATTTGTGACAGGCTGCGTGAAGTATCTGATAAAGTAAATAAGTTCGGGTGTGGCACGCATCGAATATTTGAGCATCTTAAAATACCAGTTAAAGAAATTGTCGTAGGCCCAAACCACATTGGTGTACTTTTGGAAGACGGGAAGGCATTTCGAGCAGCTTTCTCTATTAATTCAGACCGTCTCGATCTGAGCAGAATTGATAGCAGCAAAAGGTAAGTTGTTTTAAGGATATAGTTATTGTATTTATGAAAATTATTTAATTACAGCAATGCAAACAATAGCTCTAATCTAACAAATAATTCAAAAAGTGCTGCCCCATCGTCAGCAAGACAATTGGCCCGTTCAAGAGCGCGTCTTATGCGTACAACCGGAAGATCTGGATCTGCAAATCAAAGCTCAGGTTCACGTAGCACAGGAGTAATTATTGGCAGTGGCTCCTCGAGTCGTCCCATTGTAACAGTGCCTGCAACTTACGTTCCTGAAGAATTAATATCCCAAGCTGAAGTCGTTTTGCAGGGTAAAAGTAGAAATCTAATTATAAGAGAATTACAGGTTGGTTCTTCGTTGGCTAATTATGAATATATGGAAAGTTAATATTCTGTATTATTTCAGAGGACTAATTTAGACGTAAACTTAGCAGTTAATAATTTGCTTTCTCGAGATGATGAGGAAGCAGAAGATACGGAGGAAGTTGGTGATAACTATGTACCAGAGGACTTAATATCCCTGCTCGATAACGGATTTCATGGAGATAATAGTAGCGTTATAATAGATCCTTCGGATGGCCTTTTCTCTGAAGAAATATTCAGCAACTATTCCAGTATCCGCAAGTAAAGAACTTATTAAATTAAATAGTACTTAAATTAGTTTAATATTTCGGAACTGCTAACTCATACTTAATTTATATAAAGAAAAGTGAAGTTATAATTGCAATTAAGTAGAAATTCTTACAATAATGCAGTTAGTCCAAATGTTTGTGATAATGTGCTCACAATTAGAATCTGACACCACTATTAGAGTAAGCATGACATGACTGCTTATGAAACTGAAAAAACCTGTTTGAGATTTAATGTTGCTAGACATGAAGAAACTACGTTATGATTCACATTATAAAAGCTGTGATCACATATGTACACGCTTTTTCTCATTTGACTGTACATGTTAAAGTAGTAAAACGGTTATTCCAATTGCATGAGAACCTTTATAAAATGTTAATATCGAATGATTGGCCGAGTAAATAATTAGGCTGATTTGACATATTATGTGATCGTTAAATATGATCCAAAATCATCCAACTCTAATCACCATTCTACTTAAACGGCACCCTTTAAAATTAAAAAAATTACATATACTTTGAGATCTGTAAAATTGCATAATTCCACTTCCACCATGTTTAACAGTTGTTTATAAATTTTTAGTATCATCGGATGATATTGATGAGACAGCACTTTTTTCCTTCAATATCGCTGTTTATGATTTTTCCACTCCATTTTCTGTTGATTGGGTTTCAGAGTAGAATAATGCAGACAAGTCACATATTGAAATAAAAATTTATTTTATTGCGTTTAAACAACTCTAATCAGTCAAATTTAAGCATGCGCTGAAGCTTCGGCAGTCGCAATTATAAATATACATAGCAATAAATAAATTATTTGCATGATTATATATTATTTGACTATTTAATGTTTTTTTCACAAAACAGCTTACTATTTGATCGCATACGTAGTGAAAGGAATCAATCGGGCTCAAGTAGTTCAGATAACCAAGTGAGACCTGTAACAACTTCTGCGGGCGTATTGTCGTCAAATAATAGCTTATCTGCACAAATTTCATCTGTAAGTGTTGATCGAGAAGCTTTTAGTCGATGGAGAGATCGTCAATATTACGGACCCCGACGTTGGCTTAACAAGGACGAATATGTCTGGGAAAATAACGGAGGTTAGTATATATAACGCATATTTTTCAGTGTGCGTTAAAAAATATTATGATACATTAACCTACACTATTAATAAAAGAGAAATAAAGTTTTTTTTTTTTAATAAAAAAAAAATAACTAAAATAAAAATAAATAACTAAAACTAAAATCTATTGATACATTAATGTGATTAATATAATTGTCCTTAAACGCTGCGTTCTTATAAAATGATAGTATCATATTGATCAACAAGAAAAACTCATTCAACGCTCAGAAATTAACTAATTTCACGACAAACGTACAAACTAATGCAATTAAACTAAACATAAACTATTTTAAATTTTAATGAACGTCATTGTTTTCCATTTCTTTATGTTTCATTTTACGATTCCTGTAAAATATTTCAGAAACGCCAAAGGGTGTCAATTGTTCACCACATAATAATAATGTTTGAAAATCGAAAATGTTTAAATAAAATTTTTTTTTTTTAAATTAAATTAAAAACGTTTTTTTTCTTAACTTTTTACTCAAATAAGTTTTAAGTTTAAATATTCAGCTTTTATTCCGTTTAAGATTTAAGAAAAAGAGACATTTCATCAAGTTCTCCCCTTTGGATTTCGGAGGAATTACAGCCTTGGCCGGATAAAAATGGCCTTACTAAATTTAAAACAATAGGAGCATTATATTCTGAGTTTATTGCGCTTTCAGAAAACGGAGAATTACATCAGTGGAAATGGTCAGAATTAGAACCTTATAAATCAGAGGTAAGGTTTAATAGATAAGCTAAATGAAAAATTTTGATTTTGTGTAAGTAAGAATATCATTAACTGTAGGGAATCAAAAAAAGTGGCTCGGGCGTCGTATTTGATAAAAATCGAAATAGTTCGTATAATAAGCATAAGGAAATGAGGAAACACTCATCAAGAAGTTTACGCAGAACTTGTAACCATGTCATGTTTTTTTTTATAATAAAAGGTTTGTGTTTTATTTATTTGTTTTATTCGGCTGACCGCACATAATTATACTGAAGTAGTTGAGTTTTCAATCGTTTTATGTCTTCGAAAATTGAACTCGTTATAGAAGAGTCAGTAATCCAGAATCCGAAGACTTCAGCAGTAAAGCTGTGCCAAAAGATGCAAATTAAAAAAACGTTTGACCGCCAAACTTTAGGCAACACGCAACTGAGAGTAGGTTATTTTAGGCAAGTTCCGTGACTCAAGCCATTTATAGCAGATGCGAGTAAAAAAGGAGACTCAAATTCACCAAACTCAATGTGTAATACTCAGTGTCGAATGAATATTTAATATGTTGGTGCTCAAAAAATTTACCGAATACAAAACAAAGAGCTCCAGGAAAAAAATATAATTACGATTGTGAAACATGGCTGCGGCAATGTAATGATTTAGGTGCATGGCAGCATCTGGGGGTGGAAAACTCCCGTACATTGATTATGGAATGGACAAGCAGTCCTATTTCACATTTTTAAGTGATAATTTGACTTGAAATGTTAAAAATTGCAATCAAAATCAAGTTTTCCATATGTGTGCCTAAATTTTTTTTTATTATATAGAATCTTTAATTTTTTTGTTCTAATTTTATTTCCCTCAAGATATGAAATATCTTTTGGTTGAATATATAATATTAATGAAATGTGGAACTTGAAGTATATTCTTATTAAAATTTTTATCGTAAATTCAAAAAGAAAACAGTAATTATTGAATAAACTTTTAAAGTGACGGTGAGCCTAAACTTTGTTCGCTGTATATCGAAATCAAATTTCGTTTTACATTAAAGTATGTTATATTCGTCACAAGCATATATGTTTATTCAAAATTTTTGTTTGTCATTCTTCGTTTGTCAAAGGAAAAATGGGTAGCAAGAATTTATTCCGTTTTCTGCAAAGCATGTACAGTGATGCTTACGAGATCAAAATCTTTTTCTGCTTATAAGTTTTTTTATTTTCATAATAAATTAGATATGATGTCAGTAGTACTGCTTCAAAACGTTTCTTATACCGGGCAATCATTTTTTATATTTCACGGTATGACGTGGCACATTAGGAAGATCGAAAAAACTGACCGAATTGTACGCGTCAATGATCGCAATTGAACATGTGTTAATTTGCAAAAAAATTTATTCGGAAAGGAAAAAACATTATTTTTTGAACGCACAGTATGATAGACGGAATTGAATTAAAACTACAAAATATTTATTATACTCCTTAGATTTTTCTTCTTTATTTTAAAAACATTTGCCGTATTAAATAATAACTAGAAACTCCGAATCCAGTGATTATAAATACAAGTACTGGTAGTTTTCATTTAATTAAAAATTTTGTTCCTGAAAATAATTGTTATTATGCGAATATACAACGGCTTATGGAGCTATAAGGTTAACCGTGTACTATAATTTTTGTATCCAAAAGAATGCAAGATACATATGTAAATTGAATGGAGATGTTGGTAATGACATGTCTTAGAAATGTTTTTATTTAAGATTATTGAAAAAATAAAGTTAAGGGTTTAAATTTTGGTTAGGGTCAGTTTTATAAGTTCTATAAACTATCAATTTATTAATTGTGCGATGCATGTGTTTACAATTATTTCAGATGGAGCATGCTTACCATCCAAAATCAGTAAGTCTTAATATAAACGAAAAGGTTGGACAAGTATCAGCGAACTTTATTCGTTGTTCGGTGGTAACAGAAAGTGGACGAGTTGCAACTTGGATGGACGAACAAATAGGATATCTAGGAGCCAAACTTGAACACCCAACCATTATGTTTAACGAATTTGTTGTGGATCCCATAGCATCAATTAATGTTTGTTCCTTATATACAGCAGTAAGGACTGAAAACAACAATGTTTATTGGTGGGGTGTATTACCATTCGATCAACGCCGTTACTTATGGGATAAATTTCGAACAAAGTCTAAAAAACCGTTTAAAACTGTATCCTCTGATATTTCAGTCGGAACTCAAGTGATAATGAAAAAATGTCCCATTTATCAAGCAGGCTCTATTGGTTTTACATGTTATAATGGTATTCCAAAGATAGGTCAGTTACAGAATTCAGTCTGGGACCTTAGCGACGTTTGTCGATTTAAAATAATTACATTAACTCCCCAACCGAGTGGTGAAAAATCTCAGCTAGGCACCTGTAGCTCATTAAGTAATGAAAAAGATTATATAAAGGCTCATATACCAAACACAGTAAATACACAATCAACAAGTAAATCACTAAATTCCACAAAAGAAACAACGGATCGAATTGATATGCCTCCGCCTCCTTCACCAGCATCAAGTACGTGCAGCGATACAGGTAGTGTCACTTCACATAAGCGAGCGAAAAGAATGGCTGCGAAAGATGATGTTGAAAGCAAAAAAGATGAAGAATTGTGGCAACTAAGAGATGTAGTTTTTGTTGAGGATAAAGTTGGACCAGTTGGAAAAGTATTAAAAGTAGATGGCGATTTTGTGGCAGTGCGTTTCCCAATTTCTCCAACATCTACGAGTTCTGTTTGTAGTAATAATAGTGAAGGAAAAGACGATGATTGGCAACAGTGTCGACTTTTACGCCGCGAAGATGTTCAGATTTACAAAACAAATATGGCTTCACGTGGATTGGACTGGCTGCAAAAGATGCCAAGAAAAGTCAATATAAATAATTGTAATGACTCAAATGGATATCAATTATTAACTATGACAGTGGACGTTCGGGGAGTTCACGTTATAAAAAAACATGGGTCCAAACTTTTTTATAGCCTGTATAATCTATATAACAGCAAACAAGAACAGATATGTCAGTTTCCTACAGATAGTGTATCGTTTTTAGGTGTTACTCCTAAAAATATTAACATATTCTGTAACAATGACAGCGGTGTCAGTACTAGCAATATTTTAGTTTGTGATGGAAATCGTGCTCTCTATCCAATTGCTAAAGATTGCTTGGGATCAATAAAAGATCCCCATTGGCTGGATCTACCGCCAGTTAAAAATGTTTCGATGAGTATGATACCATTTTCTTCAGCCGGGAATCTTAAGTCCAAATTGTGTTTAACGGCTTTAGTTTTTGAGCCACAGAAACTAATGCCCCATATCTTGAGATGTGACATCAAAAACGCTTTTGCTGTTCTTGGTCGTTTAGAAAAGAACGAACGCAGTGAAATTGTGGTTATCACAGAGGAGCGTTGTGATGGTGGTCGTAATATTTTCCATGCGTGTGTTGCCTTATCTGCCCCTACATCCAATAAGGAAGCAGACGAGAAAAGAAATATTTCAGGAAAAGAAATATTTAACCGATCATCGCCATTAGCTAATACAGTTTTTTCTAACTGTCCAAATCTTTCTACACATTTGGATATAAACAATAGTGTAACTGCAACAAATACTGCGCCGCCGTCAACTATGAACGCTACGGTAAATATGAGAGAGAACCGCTCCGTTAGTTTGCGAGACATGATGAATCACCTGATTAATACTGAATCAGAACAAAATAATCCGGCCCATCGAATAGGACCGGTTGAGGATCATCTGTATATACCCCAGTGGTCAATAGATGGTAATAGCAGTAGTCAAACATTAAACGACATCATTACCACGAGTGAAGTTGAAGATAATCTTTCAAAGAGTGCAACCGCCAATATATCAAGCATTACTTCCTCCGCAAGTATTCCTACACCAAATTACGTTTTCGAACCAATGCAGCGTCGAGAGCATGCAATTTTAATTTTGCAACAAATGTGCTCATCGGTTGCGTTTCGCCCTTATTTACATCAAATGCTAAGTTTCAAGGATTCTCAAGGCCGAACACCTTTTATGATATCAGTGTACACTCGTGCCTATGAAGCTGGTATAATACTTTTAAACACAATTTTAAGTTTATCGGAAAAAGATGCTTCGGTTAAAAACTCTATGATATTTCCTCCCGGTTCTCCCCCTGATCAGTCTCCTTTATATGTTATTTGTTACAACGATACTTGTTCATTTACGTGGACCGGAGCAGATCATATCAACCAGAACATATATGAATGTAAAACATGTGGTTTAACAGGGTCACTATGTTGTTGCACAGAATGTGCACGCGTATGCCACAAAGGTCATGATTGTAAATTGAAACGAACATCTCCGACAGCTTATTGTGACTGTTGGGAAAAGTGTAAATGTAAAGCACTTATCGCTGGAAACCAAAATAAACGATTTGCTCTTCTGTGCAAATTAGCTTCGTGTACTGATCTTGTAACGAGGTTCAATTCGAAAGGTGAATCAATTTTACTTTTTTTAATACAGACTGTTGGTCGACAGACAGTGGAACAAAGACAATACCGTGCTAATGCTCGTGTAAGAAATGTCGGCAGTAGTTCAAGTAGTGGCACATCAAGGAAATCCTCTGCGATTGATCTTGACGCTGATATGCCAGAACATGACCTCGAACCCCCAAAATTTGCTCGAAAAGCACTCGAACGGTTACTAATTGATTGGCACGCAGTCAGAGCCATGATTATGTCTGGTGCTGATAAAAATGAAAACTCCCAACAGCAACCTAATTCTGTGGATGCATTGAATACTGATAGTTATAATATGTACGTTCTAAGCCAGCAAGGATCTACACTTTTGGATAAATTTACCCATAATTTATTTGTTAAGTGTAGTGGCGATCATCTGGATACCCTTTTGATGACATTATTGCGTGAAATGCAGGACGACACCACTGCAGGTCGTCGAGAAGAAGCTGAATCAGTTGCCCGTAGATTTATACGATCTGTAGTACGTGTCTTTGTTATTTTCAGTTTAGAGAAAATGCCGAATCCGGAACGGAGAAAATCAAATTTAGCCTCGAACAAACATATTCAAAGCTGTGTAAAAGTTTTTCAATCTCTATATAAAATTTCAATTGAAGAATTGTGTGAAGTATCTGAATCTCTTATTGCACCAGTACGTCTTGGCATTGTTCGACCAACGGCTCCATTTACTATGTCTTCTACAAGTATTGATGTAAGTATTTTACTCTTTGTGTATTTAAAACTACTTTAGGTAGACCAGAAACAACCTTTTAATAACATTTAAATGTAACATTAATACACCCGATTCGGTTTACAACTCACGATTTGGTTGATTATTAAAAGGCTTATGTTTTCGAAAGAAAAATTAAAACAATACAATTTAGTTAATGTTTTAATATTTAATAAATATTAAAATAAATCATATTACATTATTCATATTATAACGGCGGAAATTTCGAAACCAATGCTGATGTGCTGTGCTGCTCATAAAACAATGGTAGTGGCGTTTGAATGAATTTTTAATAATGTTTTTTTTATTTATTTAAATAAATCGGCAATATACATAGATATAATAAAGAATTAAAGTATTATACAAAAGTGGCTAGGGTATATTAGTGTAATATCTGGAAAATATTTAAATAATTGTAAGTTAATATGTAATTCAGACTTGATTTAGATGTAATCCAGACGAGCAGGTGTCTCTTGGTGTTTTCGGTATTCACCTTGAAGTGAATTTACTAAATTAGCCAGTCTATTCTGAGGACCATGGATAACATAATTTTTCTTGGATTTCGATGTTTTTAGTAATCTATTTCGCCTCAGGGTAAGACCAGCAGGGGCGAGTTCAAAACTGTTTAGGATCTCATGAGCATCAGTGATGTTATTGACTACTTTGTAGAAAAAGCAGAGGTCAGCGACCTGTCGACGAGAAGACAGTTTGTTTATACAGTTGTCTTTATATATAATGTTGTCTTGAAGTTTTATAAGATATTTCTGTTAATAACTGTATGTAATTTCTAAAATTCTTTACCACTGGTGGGAATTAATGCATTCTGATTTTTATTTAATTTTTGAAGGCTTTATATAAAATTTTTAAAACTATCTTAACTAACTAAATATATGCGTGTGTGTATGTGAATATGTATGTTACGTGATAAGGGGTTGTTTTCGACAAGTAGTTGCCTAAATGTATTTTTAGAACCAATTTGGTACAATGTATATAAACATGTGCATGTTCTTATCTTAAATCAATGCATACATTTATTTATGTATGCATGTGTATTGCAATTATATTCATATAATTTTATGTTTGTTTATGTCTATACGAGTATGTACGTTTTGTATTACCTCAGCATTATCAATGATAAGCATGTTCAAAGATATTTGAACAACTTCCGTTTAAATAAAAATAAAAAAAAGACAATGCAATTTCAAATTTTTGTCAGGTTGAGTTGTTATCGAAAATAAAATTTCAGCTGAAATTGAGCTGAGTTGTAAACCGTAATTACATAAAAATACAAAAGTCTAGAATATCAATGTAAATGTAATTTTTACGCATTAAATTATTGGTCTATATTGATGTACGTAAAATTATATTAATACCTTAAGGTACAATAATAATGCTATATTTGCGTTTAAACCTATACCTAATGCATGGAATAAGAAAAAATTATACATTATTACTGTCACATTTTAATATAACCTAAGTAAATTAATTGTTAAATATTTTCGATTAGAGCTCGGATGATTTATTTAGCGTTGAACCTCTGGCCCCTTCATCCGCTACTGAATCATTAGCAGAACCTGTATCAAGTCATGAGGAGAATCAGTCCGGTACACCTGGATATGCTATTCAATCAAATTTTTCAATTGACAACATTGATGGTAAGCAAAAACAAAACATAAATTGGATTTTATCATTTTTTTTTTTTGATTTTGTTAACATTGATGCCATTATTTATGTTCTATATATGCGAAATATTTATATCATTGATTATAATTGTTAAGGTAAGCCTTGTCAGAATTGCAAACTCAATTATCAGTGATGACACAGAATCTGATCGGTTTTTCGTGTGTTTGAATATAAGAAAACTGAGTTCTCGAATTAAGTGGTAATATTTATTCATACCACACTAACAAACTAAACATTTCAGGATTTTATGCATTTCAACCACAAAATAAAAAACTTATTAAAAATCATTAAAAATTAAATTTGCATAAATAAGTAGCAGCGATCGCAGTTTTTATATAACTGGAGGAAGAAAGTTACTAAAAAGTTAAAAGAAGATTTTACTGAAAAATTACTTAATGTAATGTTATTGTGATTTTACATTTTTCGTACACCCTCTAAAAATATCTCAGTTTTAGAGTGGAACGTTTTACATAGCCTAGGCAGCATTCTCTAAAAGCAAATTTGAAAGTCGGTGAGTCGATTAAGAATATAAGAGAGATGGAAAGATAACATATGTATATAATGTAAAAGATACTTGTTTCGAATCCGGTAATGTTGCTTTTATTGATTTAATTTCGTAAATTGAACGTTTTGTACTACTGTACATCACTTCTTAAAAAACGGCTCTTCATTGATTTAAATGTAGACATTAAAGGACAGTAAAATTAAATAAAACCTTTGTACATACAACAAAAAATATGCAATAGCTGCAACATTTGCTACAACAAAATCTATGTTCATTTTCGTGTCATGAAATGTAACAAAATAATTTTTATTTCATGAAATCGAGTCTTACAAGAGAATTTTCCTAATTAATTTTAAAGTTATTGCAGTAATGTGATAGAATGCTTTGAAAACCTACGTGCGAGTTCAAAAAATATTCGATACAAAATGTAAACAAATGAAAGACCAATTTTCAACCAACTGCCATAAAAATCACTTTCGACGCTTTCTTCCTTCCACTTACATATCGTTAAAACTTATTTTATTTGTACGTGTATACACTAGATTTAATGTTGATGTACTAAACAAATAAAAAATATAAGAAATTTAAAAACAAAATTCATATTGAAAAATCTAGACGTGATATTCATATTTGTGGCATAATTTTTCAAACGAGAATTTCTTTGCAGACAAGTGTAACCTAATAGCTGCTTTATAGTATTTTTGATTATAGTCTAAATAATTCCTATATATTTTTAGTTTTACGAGATGCTCAAGAAGGTGATGAAACTATCAACCGGGGCAACAGTAATCTTGGTCAAGAAGAAGATATTCTAGATTCTGCTCGAAATGAAGAAGTTATACAGGATGATGAAAGTGATAATGATTTTCCATTTAACGATCCAGAAACTGAATCTGATTCTGATGACAACCAAAGTAATCAAGATGCCCAAAGGAGCGTACAAACTGGTGCAACAATTGGTTCGGAAACAGGTGAATTTTGAACAAATCCTTTCATTTAAATTTTTAAGTACTGTAAATATGATTTACTCAGTTAAAAAAGTGCTAATACACTTCGTTTGGTAATGCGCGTTGTAGAAAGGGACTTCCTTTTATTGGAACTTAAACATGATTAAATCAAGTCGTAATTAAAAAAAAAACAATTTTAAAATAGGATATATCAGTATCTGTTGGTTTTTAAATGCACCAATTAGATAATGCTCGGAGGGGCTATTGTGAAATTTGTTTTATAAAATGCTAACGTTCACAAGAAAAGTTGAGCAGGGTACGGAAAATTGAATAAGAAATAATAAAAGTGTAGTATAATATTCAAGTGTATCAAAAAGTTGCATTTGCTCTAAAGCTAAATTGGGGAAAAAAGGCTACTCACAACTAAAAGCAGTAACTTCCATAATATTATCGATAAAAACCTTTACCTAACTATTTCAAATGTGTCGCAAAACCTTACGTTAAGGTTAAAAGAGGCTTAGAATTAACCAGACTAGTTAAATTCATATAAACGCTTTTCAAAGTTTTTCTCATATTTTTATAAAAATAATTGTGAAAATTTAATGAGTTTAAGGAATAATGAATCAGCTAAATTAAACTGATTCCATCGGACTTATGCTGGTAAACACTTCCGTTGATTGTAGGCAGATAGATAGGTAAGAGTGTCGCTTCTACTGGCTCGTTTAGCGTTGAACTATGCAATTTTGAATCACTATTCGTAAGACCTTTAAATATTGCTATCTCGTTTTATTGTTTTGGTGCACTCACTGAAACTACTCCGTAATGCCTTTTTTTTAGATAGACATTCTAGGTTTGGTACCTGATGGGTTTCAAGAGTTCTACACCGGGATTGTGATAGAGCTGGGCACTCGCAGAAGAAATGTAGAACCGTTTCCTTACTCCCCTCGAGTTTGCAGCTGCTGCAAATATTGTTATGAGGCATTCCCATTCTTAACGCGTGGTCTCCAAATGACCTATGCCCCGTTATGATAGTTGTAAGTCTGTATGTACTTTTTCTGAACCTATGTAATAAGTCCTTAGTTTTTATCTTGTCATATTTAAGCCATATCTGGCTCGCTATCCTGCGTTTGGTTTAGACTTCCATCCGTTCTGAGCTATTTGTTAAAATGTTTCATTGAGTTCCCTCTTTATTGTTTTTAGGGGCACGGTGTTGTCTCCGCCTATGGCTTGTCTAGAGAGGCTCCTGATTTAGCAAACTCGTCTGATTTTTCGTTGTCGAAAATGTTTCTATCGACGGGAACCCAAATTATGGACAGATGAAGTTGACCTGCAAGTGAGCTTAAATCCTTCCTATATTTGTTGACCACACTGTAGTTTAACTATATATGTGTCTATGGTAGCTCTCTGTATCCTCCCATAGTTATTCAGTAGAACTCCACAGGCCTCCTCTATGCCCGATACCCCCGCTAGGAAGATGCTAGCTGAATTTGGAAGACGGAAGGAGAGAGGTATATCAAGATCCTCGTCCCTACTCCGCAGTCCATTTTGGACTTTTCGGTATAGATTGAGGTAGTATTCTTCTCCCCTACTAAACCTCTTTTCCATTCACTTCTCCAGGGAGGTCTCACCTAGAAGTCAGTATTGATATCCAACCTTGGGAGGATATAGTTTGATTTATTTAGATTTATTTCGAGCTAGTTCTGTATATCGCTATGCCCATTACATGTTCCAGCTTCCTGTCTCCTTGATTCTTATAGCAGAGAATGTTATTACTTTTTGGATGAAAACATCTATGGACAGTTGATGTGGGAGCATATTAAGCGCATCAGTTGGACATGACTTAATGGAACCGGTAAAGAATGACCTCTGTATCCATATAATTTTCTGATATTATATTCTATCTTTAATGCTGACCAGTGATCCATATGTTATGTAAGAATTGGTCTAATAATAGTCGTATACATCCACATGACTATATTCGGCCCCAATTCCTGCTGAGTATTCTCTTGCATGTGTAATATGTCAGCTCAGTTTGGTATCAATCTTAATTAATGAATAGCATCAGTTCCGCCTTACTACGCTTGACCCCTAGTCCCTTGTTTGCGGCTCCCTGGTGCAACATTCGTAAGACTTTTTCCATTATCTCACTGATTGTCGATAGAAACAGTTCTGATACTATTAACAATATATCGTCTGCTACTGCTTTTACTCCTCCTCCGTTGAGTAGGATTAGTATTTTGTTTAGTGCCACCACCCATAGAAGTGGAGAAAAGACACTTCCCTGCGGAGTCCCTCTGCTTACATAGCAAGTTTGTGTCACTGAGCTATTTTGGTCTTATAACTTTCATTGAAGACTGCGCAGTTGCGTTCTTATGGTCCCTAGATCACTGTTCCACCAAGGGACATGCTCTTCTTCAGCACAGTTAAATGTGTGGATTGGTTGAAAGAGGCAGTTAAAATTTTTTCGATCTTCTCCACCTCTGTCTAATTCTAGAGTATTTCTGATTATATTATTGTTCCTACTTATTTCTAAGCCTTTTGTAGCTATTACAATAAATTTATTCCATAGTCTTCTTTTAGGGTTTCGATATTTGAGAGGAGTACTGGATTTCTCTCGAATGCTGAAAAGTATCCAGGAGTGATCCGACATCTACGTTTCCTCGGATACTCTCCAGTCATCTACGACAAGGCTATCTGTAGATCGTGTCAGATCCAGCACTTCCTTCCCACTCTGAAAATTTTTCCGAACTTGGGAATATTAAGAGTTGGCTTATCGCCTCTATGACATATGCTTAAATTACTATTTAGAATGTAATGTAAGAGTGACTCACCTCTGATGTTTGTGCAGGGACTTCCCAATCTCTGTCTTTTCTTCCCTTTTAAAATATATAAACCGAAAACATTTGAAATTTCTTATAATAATTTATTGTATATTTTTATAACAATTATCTTTCTATTACTGTTATGTTATGTTATTGCAATTATGTTTTCTTTACTTGTCAATGTTTACATCTTTTTCTTATAACAATTTGATGAATTTTATGATGTATATATATTATTATTGTATATATGTATATATATATATAATTATCCTTTTTATACTCTCGCAACTTGTTGCTATAGATTATAATAGTTTTGTTCACCTAACGGTGTTTGTATCACCTAAAACTAATCGAGTTAGATATAGGGTTATGTATATATAAATGATTATAATTAATTATTCTTAACTCTAAACCTAAGTTTGCGCTTCCCACTGTTTCGGTCTGCACGTTTCGCAACTTCAGTGATTTAGATTATGCGCTAAGGTCATATCGCATTGCTTTGTATCGTATGATATGATACTTTTAAAAAGTGTGACATGCTAACTTACATAGCTCACAAACTTATAGAGCTATATCATCCAAACTTGCTGGGAAAATGTTTTTCTAGCACCTCCTCTCATGCTGATGAAATAGTTATGTTACCATTTCTAAAAACAACTTAAATTTACTTGTATTTTAAGTCTTTTCAAGTTTTAAAAATAATGCGTGAATTTTCGTTTCCTATTTTTAATTTTTTTTTTTTGTATACCAATAATACACTTTTTATATTGATGACCGAATTTTATTATTATTTTTTCTTAATCTTAACGTTATTATCATCATTTAAAGTGACTAAATATAAAAAACAAATATGAAATTTTTCACTCTATATATATTCATTTCTTCTACCTTATTTTATACTTTTTTGGCGACTTGTACTGTGGAACAGCACTTGTTGTCACAACACGACACTGCACATTTAATTTTTGAACATCAATACATACATACATATTTCACTTATTATTTTGAATTAATGTACAATTACACTTCGCCTATTTTCCTTCGTTTGATTCCTTTGCTCGCACTTCTTCCAAATTTTAACGTTATGCCAAAAAAGCAATGAAAAAAATATAATATATCTAATTCTATCAATCTTGATTTTAAATGTAACAGTAAACTGCGACAAACAAGTACATAAAACGAGCGTTCTTCAAGTAAGGGCAACTTGAAAACTTCTTTAAAAATAAGCAAATCAGTTGTTTGTCAATTATGCTATCTATAAGCACTAGACACTGTATTGACATATCACCGCGTCAACATGGCAGAACCTACTCCTTTCTTTAAGTCAGTGTTTGTGTTGGAAGTGCTACTTTTAACTTTTTCGCCATTTTTGATGTACATATTACACCAATCACAAACGAAATTATGCAAATTCAAATGATTTGAATTGTCAATTTAAATA